CCTTTGTGTGAAAGCATGGTAATTTGCATATGGAACTTGAATCGAAATTACTAATGATTCTAAGAACACTAATATATTGCCTATGTAGTATGCACATTTTCTACCTTATTTGTAAATGAAATTCATCTCCAATCCTTCTATCGTTTCAGGTTTATCCATTGTTATTCGAATGCAAGAAAAAAATAGCTGGTTTTCCAAGTAAAAACTGCCAAATAACGTTTACACATAGTTACGTTATGATAAGTAATCAGAGGGTGGGGAGACGGGGGGGATTCCCCCGGTCTATATCTCTCTGCATCTGCTAAATTATTATTTTTTTTCCCAGTGATAGGAGTTAAAACTCCCACCTGGGTGACACTACTCCAATAACAGACCATGCAAAATACCCCAAAATATTTAAAATATTGCAAAGTAACGTTACAACCTTGCAAACAATAATAAAATCAGAGAAGGACTTTAACTGTAAGTGGCACGAGCATACGCAAAACAAAGGGAACAATATGATATTTGTTATTATTAAAATTGTATATAGTTTTTATAAACATTTTTTTAAATTTACCACTTGGGCAATAACGTTAACAATAACGTATATCTTCAACATACGTTGTCTATGACCAAAAATATGAGAAAAATTATGTTTTCAGTGGACTTTTAATATTTGCATTGCTTGAGAAAACAAAAATATACAGTTACATAGTTTTTTCTTTTGGTTTAGTCGAGTTGGTTTTGCATCAAACACAATGTGATTTTCGGCAGTCGAGATCTGACAGCAACAGCACATTTTTCCACTTGGGCGAGCACTTTGCGGACAGCTTACCTCATGCATTAAATCTGCCGCAGGCCAGCAAATCACTGAGAACGTGCTACAATCCTGACGAGTCATAGCAACAAAGCAGAGACGAGTAAGCTGCGGAAAATCTGCTCGCCCGGAAGCAACCGTAACTGATGTAGATTTACAGAAAATGACTGCCGTTTGGCAAATAAATCATTGTACGTACTTATTCCTAACACTTTAAGCTTTAAGTTACATTTCAAATGACAAGGGATCAACTTATAATATTGTTTATATGAATTATCCCGTAAACATATTCTCTCAAATGGCCTGGGAATGTGGAGCATTCGCAGCTTATATGGACGGAACGCCACTGATATATGATATATATACTCACACACATATACACACATACACACATATATATATATATATATATATACACAGTAGTCAACATTTGAAGTGATTGAACTTTCATCAAAGTTGTCCTAAAACCTAAAACCAAAATGCGTTCTTGTCTGAGGACAACTTTGATGAACTTTTTTTGATTCACTTCAAATGTTGACTTGTGTGTGTGTGTGTAATTTATGTAATTTTAATTTATTTTTTAATATACTTTTTTCATTATCATATGTAACTTTTCTTGATTATCTATACTTTACCAAACTACATTGTAAAATTATTATTATTATTATGGTTACCATTCTGACTAATTCTGTTTGAATGAGCCATGTATAGTTCAATATGGTGTCTATGCTGACTAAGGTCTTTATGATTAAGTGATTACAGAAGAGCAAAAGAACAGTTGCTTAAGCATCTATATGAATGTGTGCTGATAAGCCTTAACAAACCCAGTGCATGTTGCCTAGCAACACTGCAGATAAGAGAATGAGTTAAAGTGGTCATATGATGCGATTTCAGGTTTTCCTTTCTCTTTGGAGTGTTACAAGCTCTTGGTGCATAAAGAAGATCTGTAAAGTTGCAAAGACTAAAGTTTCAAATCCAAAGTGGTATTCTTTATAAAAGTAAGTCATATAAGAAATATATAAGAGTCAACCACGCCCTCCTAAAACGGCTCATTGTAACACGCCCCCCCACATGTCTATGTCACTATGTGGAAATATTAGCATAATGCCGCCCAAATGTGCACACAAAGAAAGAAGGCGTGGTTTCAGGAACAGCAGTCGTGTTGATGCAGCCATGTCAGGGAGACGATGTGTATTTCCTGGTTAGTAAGACTGCCACTCAAGGCTGGCAGTCATGCATATGCTCTGGAACAAAGTAATATCGCGTCCATATCACAGGCTTTGCAATTAGGAAATCACAACGTCTCAAATCGCGATTTCGATTAATCGCACAGCCCTAGCGCAGAGTAACGCGTCGTGTGTGTGTGTGAGGGGAACAGGGTCACATCACAGGAGAGTGAACTGCCTGTCAGAAATCATAGCACGTCAGCCGTCTTAACCGCGGCTTGTGTACTGCATCATCACTGTGTCTGTCACATGACTCTGTTGCCCTTTCGGGCTTGAACTAATGGTAAAACTGATGACATTATTAACTGTCTTGATATTTACTTTGAAAGCTGAAGCTCGCGATTATGGTAAGGGGCGTTACATTTCCGACGCGTGCTTGTGGTGTTCGGCCAATCACAATGCACTGGGTCAGCTGGCCAATCAGAGCAGACTGCGCTTGTCAAAGGAGGGGGCTTTGTTGAAAATGACGTGTTTGAGAGAGGCGGAGCATAGAGGCCCTACAATAATGTACAGTATTTGAAAAAGAATGTGTTTTTTGAGCATTAAAGCATTCTGTTACACCAAGTACACAAAATAATGATCTTTAAAATAGCATCATATGACCCCTTTAAAATATGTATAGTTCTGCAGTTTGTTTGCTCGACAGTTGTTACTGATTATTTGCACAGTATTCGCACAAGTGACTACAGCGGAATGTGTCATTGACCTTTGCTGCGATGTCGGGTTAATATTTAAACTCCTAAGCTGAGGTGCAGTGGAATTATGAACTCTCATTTTCTTGCATGTTTCATGAATGTGGCTTTTCTCGCAGGAAAGAATTGGGACCTCTCGGCTGCGCTAAGTGACTTTGAACAGCTGAGACAAGTGCATGCTGGGAACCTCTCATGCACCTTTGCTGAGGAGAGAGAATATCCCTCCATTGAGCGGATAGGGCAGCCCCTCTTGCATCGCCAAGATGAGGTTGTGCAAGGTACAAAAGCACTAGAAGGTCTGTCTGCATGGCCTGACCTTAATTCTCAAATGTGTTTCATAATTTATGTAAATGACTTACCCTGATCATGACAGCAGTTGCATATGATGTCATTTCAAAGACTTGCCCACTCTCACCTGACTAACGTTTTCGAATTGAAGGGAGTGGAGGACTGATAAGAATAGGTCGACCAGATAATAGGTTACCAGTGTCTAGTTTCATATTCTCCAGTATACGCAGTAATCTGAACATGTATCATGGCAGCAGCCACGGAGAAGCGACTGTCGAGGGGAATCTCTCATGCCAGCTCCACCATCGTCTCTCTGGCCCGCTCGCACGTGTCAAGTACGGACGGCACCAGTGAGCCGCTTCTGGACACTCCGCTCTGCACCTTCCAGTTGCCTGACCTCACAGTCTACAGAGACGACTTCCGTGGCTTCATCGAGAGAGACCTCATTGAGCAGTCCATGATGGTGGCACTGGAGCACACTGGTTAGTCATTTCATTTCAAGAATCTCTTCTCCGAGAGCTAAACCAAATATTTTGATATTATGAGTTTTATAGTCCGATATTTCTAACGTAACGTTATGGTTAGCTGCTTTATTCTCTACTGCCTACATAAGCATCCTGACTAAAATGTAACTTCATAAGTGACTGATTTGAAATGCCCTACATAGGCAGCATATAGTGCTTCTCATGTGACGCACACATGAGTTTGCCATTAGAGTGATACTCTAATGAGCTTAAAGATACACAGTACACACAAATAATGTGCAAGTAGTCTTTTTTTAAATTAGATTTGACTCTTGAATTAATTATTAATGAAGTATTTTTATGATTGATATTTCACTTGGTCCACCACTGCCCTTCCAGTGCTGCCTACACAGGTAGCTCACTAGGTTTTGGAATTAGAGACATAAGCTGCATCCATAGTCCCATACTCTCTGAATAGGTGGTACTTTTGAACAAGTAATTACTTTGTGACCATTAAAAAACAAAACAATGTTCTCTACGTAGTATGAATGTAATCCGGACATACTACTTTTGTTATGATGTCATTGTCATGTGAACTACCAGCATCAATTGCATCACTTTACTGTGCCACTTCACAACTCCTCTCCCTTGACCTCGTGGGATGGTAAAGTGTCAACTGGATGCACACTTGAGAATCTCACCAGAAAAATTCTGTTTACTGTTTTATGAATACTGTGAATTTGGTCTCTGTTTGCATACTGTTTTTTGCCTACTATATTACAGGGAAGTATGTGATTTTTTTTTTTAATGCAGTCATAGAAAGACTTAAGTATTGTAATGTCTGTAGCCACATATTTGAGAATTAATTGTCATAACCAACTCCCCCCCAACAGGCCGTTTGAACTGGTGGACTCGTTTGGGGACTGGATGTCAGATTTTATTACCTCTGGCTACTAGTGGTGATGGGAACTGTCTGTTACACGCTGCCTCACTGGGTAAGTGTTTGAACAGACTTTTTGTATGCAAGCGATCAGCACAGAACATTTGAGTTTTTATACATATTCATTCCACGTTATCGCTTTTTGAGAGTTTGTTGGTGTTAAAATTAGCTAGAAGTTTATTAGCTAAAAGGCCATTTATTCTTCCTGTGAATTAATGTGTTATTGAAAATAGATGCTTATTGGAGTGGCATAGAGTTCTATACAGGAGCTTTTTTACTGCGTTACATTTGTAGTGTAACTATGTAACTATTATTTCCAAAGCAACAGTAAAAGGACTGCATACTTGCCTAGAAACCACTGGCAGATTAAGATATTCATTCAGTAATTATGTTTAAAACATTAAACATTACTATGCAGGTATGTGGGGCTTTCATGATCGAGACCTGATGCTGCGGAAGTCTCTCTATGCACTGATGGATCATGGGCAGGAGAGGGAGGCTTTAAAGCGAAGGTGGAGATGGCAACAAACCATGCAGAACAAAGAGGTTAGAGCACTTTATCTATTCGTTCATTTTGTACAAACAGATGGCCACAGATAACGCTAGTCAATTTAGTATCAGGCTTCAAGTAAAATATACACACTATTCAAAATTATTTTTTTTTACATTTTTTTTTATTTTTTATAAATTAATACTTTTATTTACAAAATAAACAAAAAATGATAAAGGCATTTATAATTGTATAAACAATTTCTATTTTAAATAAATGGTGTTGGTTTGAACTTTCTATTTACCAAAGAATTCTGAAAAAAAGCATCAGTTTCCACAAAAATGTTAAGCAGTGCAACTGATTTCAACATTGATACTAATTAGAAATGAACACTAAAGGATCATGTGACACTGAAGACTGGAGTAATGATGCTGAAAATTCAGCTTTGACATCACAGGCTTAAATTACATTTTAAAATATAATAAATAGAAAACAATTCTTTAAAAATGCAACATTTCACAACATTACTGTTTTTACTGTAATTTCTACTTTTTTTCATGTATATAAAACAATAGTGTAATTAGGAAAATTTTTAAATCTGCACAAATTTGGCCTTGGTTTTAGCCTAATGATGTTTATGTGTGTGGATTTGTGTGCAGTCGGGACTGGTTTACACGGAGGAAGAGTGGCAGAAAGAGTGGAATGAGTTATTGAAACTGGCATCTAGTGAACCCAGGATACACTACAGCACCAACGGCAGCAACAGGTGTGTTGATTACGTCTGATTTTATTTTCTACATGGAAAGCTGTAAACCGAGGTTTTCTGGAGTGTTTTGCTCGTGCTGTGAGATTGTGTTTTGTGTCCCGCAGTGCTGAGTCACAGGAGGAGCCGGTGTATGAGAGCCTGGAGGAGTTTCATGTGTTCGTTCTTGCTCATGTGCTCCGCAGGCCGATAGTGGTGGTGGCTGACACCATGCTGCGGGACTCTGGGGGAGAAGGTAAATAAGGACAAAATATTCATTTTAGGGGAGTTTGACACACTTTGAGGTTCTCTAACGTTCACAACTCAAAACTGCCTTCCTTGTCTATTGAAGCCAAGTTGCAAAAATGACTCAATATCTTCATGGTTATAATGTAACCATGGGCACATTAGCATGACTATGACTACAGCAGAAAAATACAGTGGCACAAAAAAGTGTTGACTATGTCCTCTTTAAATAATGCATTTTCCATTGGTCTTCTCTTGTTCCATAAGCAAAGGTTATCTTTTTTGTCTGTTGTTTAGCTTTTGCACCAATCCCATTTGGAGGGATTTACCTGCCCCTGGAAGTACCAGCCAACAAGTGTCACAGCTCCCCTCTCGTTCTGGCATATGACCAGGCCCATTTCTCTGCCCTGGTCTCAATGGAGCAGAAAGACCGTTCCAAAGAACAAGGTGAGGAGTGGTTTATATATAGCAAATCTGTTTTCTTTTTATGGTGCTTGCTGTGTGCTGTTCTTGCTTGATAAACCAGTTTTTCAAAGCAAGACAGAACTAAATCTGCAATAATTGGTCATTTCCAGAAAGTCTTTATCCACTTGAATCCAGCTTATTTCTTCAAAGGCCTTTGGGACTGTAGTCTTGGAGTTCATTTGAATACTGTTTTGTGTTTGTAAATAAGCCAAATTAGTTGTGTAATTTGGAATGGTACTGACCATTTGTTACCTTTTGTTTGGTAAAAACCTCCGCAGTGGTGATCCCTCTGACGGACTCGGATCATAAGATGTTGCCTTTGCACTTTGCTGTGGATCCTGGAGAAGACTGGGAATGGGGCAGAGATGACAATGATAATGTGATGCTAGCAAGGTAGAATTTCATTACGCACATTTGTCTGTTTAAGGAATGTTCTAGGTTCAAAACTATTTGCAGTATGCATTTTGCAATCTGGATTGAATGTAACAATGTGATTTTAAGAGGTTATCGTCACTTTCTCTGCTCCACTGTCAGTTGTACAATTCCCTGTACAAGAGTTCCACCTAGTTCAATGAATTGATGAATTGGAAGTTCATTATTTTAAAAGGCCCATGCTCATGCATTTTTGAGATGCTGTCAGTTACCACAGACAATAATTCAGACTCAGATTGATAAAAGAATAAGTATAAATTGTTTACAGTAATAACCTTGCATGTTAACTCTGAAGCGAGACATTCTGGAGAATTTTAAAGCAGAAATGCGTAGCTCATATTTTTGTTAAGATTATATGAGTAATTTCTCCACGCTATTTATGTGTGTTTATACAGTCTGAGAGATGAGTCAAAATTATTTCCTGTGGTCATCAACCGCATGTCACAAATACCATCCATAGATTTTCACTTGTTTTAAACCTGGAACATTCCTGTAATTGCTGTGTCTTGTGCATATACCAGATTTGCTCAGTATTTAGGTTATTTTGACTATGTAGTGCAAAATTACTCAGCTCTGACTTATTTACAGCAGAGTTCAGTAATGTCTGACCATAATGACGGCATTAGCCCTGTGGAGCCTGCTGGGACTGTGCGATGTTGACCAAAACTCAAGATTAGCAACTCTCCTTCTTTAATGCAGATTATCACTAAATGCTTGCTATGAATGGAACAGAGAAGCTTTCAAATCGCTCAGGGTTGCATCTGTAGTTTCCTCTTATTCCCATAGCTTTCAGATTTGTCACTATTTGATATCCTGAAATAATTAAATTATCTTGTTAAATACATCAGCACATCTGGACTTTTTACTACTTATGTAGATGTTTTTTTTGGGGGGGGGGAGTTCCCCGTATTTTCATGAAACATGCTCTTTATTTCTCATGCTCCTTATGTCTCATTAAGGGTTTTTTTTTTTTGTCAAAGGCATTTTAAGTGCCACTTATTAGTGAATATCAGCGCTATGACCTGCCTCTTGTTTGGTTTCAGTGTAACCTTATCTCTGGAGGCCAAGCTCCATCTGCTGCATAGCTACATGACTGTCACCTGGCTTCCTCTACCCTGTGAGGTACAGGTGAGCTTCTTGCTTTGTTTGACATGATAAGAATAATTTAACTGGTTTAGTGTAAACTATCAGCCAGAAACCTTTGGTAAATTTGCTCTGACAACAAAAAATTACATCCAAAGCATTTTTATTTCTAACACACAAAAAAAAACACTTTAACTGCCAAACTGGCATAGAGTGTTTTCTGGTCACTTCCCATTTCCATGATATCTAAATATAAACTTGTCTGGAAAAAACTATTACGTTATGATTCTTTTGATTTGTGGTGTGCTCTTTATTTGTATTCCAGCTAAATCATGTATACAAATAATAATTATTTTTTTTGCATCCACAGCAGGCCCCATTGGCCCAACCAGAGTCACCTACGGCATCTGCAGGAGAGGATGCCCGCACCCCGCCAGACTCTGGAGAGTCCGATAAGGAGTCCGTCAGCAGCAGTTCCAATGGCAATGGAGACAGCAGCACTACTGGAACCAGTGGGACAACAGGCAAAACGAGTGGTGGATCTTCCAGCTCCTCTAGCTCATCCAGTAACAGTTCAACAGGGACAACCGGCACAATTGGAAAGGAGAAGGGGAAGAAAGACAAAGAAAAGGATAAGGACAAGAAACGTGCAGACTCCGTTGCCAACAAGCTGGGTAGCTTTGGCAAGAGCTTGGGCAGTAAGCTGAAAAAGAATGTGGGAGGCCTGATGACGGGGAAGAATACAATTGGAACTGGACACAAACAGGAGGGTCAAGAGAAGAAGAAAGGCTCTCTGAGAGGTCGTAAGGGCAGTAAGGACAGCTCTCCCTCTATTCAAACCGGCTCTGAGGACTCTGGGAAAGGTTCACCCTCCTCAACCAGTGAGCGGCAAAATGGAAGCTATTCTTCAGAAAGTGACCCTTTTAAGTACAGCTCTGATGTGAAAGTGAGTCTTAGCATCCTCCGATCTGCTATGCAAGGCGAAAGGAAGTACATCTTTGCTGCGGTACTCACTACAAGCAACCGGCAGCCATTTCAGGAGGAAATGATCCAACGCTACATGGTTGATGCCGAGGAGCGCTTCCGTGCTGAACAGGAACAGAGAAGGGATGCTGAACGGAAAGCAACAGGAGGTCTTGCAACAACTGCTGGGTCCCAACTGAAAAAGGACGGGCCTGAGCCGAGTTACCGAAGTTTTGAAAGCAAAGAGGAAGTTACTGATAACTCCCCTCCTACCTTTAATGCTTTGAAGTCATCGTCTTGCAGCCCGGTGATGTATTCTGGTGTGGTCCCAATCCCTAGGGCCACCTTCATTGACCATTCTCCTGCCCCACTCACGCAGCATCTCCATATGCATGGTTATTTGGATACACGACGGCAGCTGGCAGGAGGTTCACCGTCTTCTTACCCAGGCCTACCATCCTATGCTACTTTGCCCCGACACTGCCCCCTAGCACAGGGCCCGCCCCATACCCAGTACCACCCACCCTCCACCAGCTTGGGCAGCCCATCCCGTATCATCAGCCCCTGCCTGACGTCTTTTCCCCAAGACCATGACCCAATTGATTACCAAACCGAGCCTGCTGGAGGCTACACGAATGGCTTGCGGGATGCACGATTCACTTTGGACAGTCGCAACGGGCCGATGCCCGTGAGGCATTACTCTTTAGGCAGTGCAGGGGGCCTCGCCAACCTGCAGTCCAGCAGATGCCGAACGCCTACCTGCAATTACTACGGCCACCCCGAGACGGGCAATTACTGCTCGTACTGCTACCGAGAGGAGCTGAAGAGACGGGAAATGGAGCCGGCCATACACAGGTTTTGAATGGACAATCTCTGTTCGGTTTCTCTCCTATAGGACTCATTGGAGCCCACCGTGTGAGCCACAACATATCCTGTTTGCGTGGATCTTGCTTTAAGACAAGTTCGGCCTTTCTGAACCAGGTTACTGAGACTCGGCGTCCACAATGAGTGGCCATTGTGGGAATGGAACTGCTGTTGTGTTACGTTTGCTGTGGCTCATAGGCAGGAGCTTTAAGCTCCTCCCACATTTGCTTGATGTGGTCATCCTCTTTCCTGTCTCCTTATCTCCTCCTAGTGGTGAGAATGTAAAGCATAGGCAATAGACATTGGAGCACAGTGTGCTGTTGCATCACACGAACACACCACATACCCCAAAATACATGTTAAGCACAACCAGAAAATCCGTATATATACCCGCTGCATTTGTATACATAATAATAGACATTTCAAGTAGGATTTCAGCTGCAATCAATGTAAGACTTGCCATATTGCGAGTGTAAGGCAAAAACACACGGTTACCTTCAAGTGAGTGTTATCTGCATTGGCTCAACGCTACAATAATTTAACTTGTACCCTTTTGAAGCCATACCCGACTGGCTTAAATTAGCTAAAATGGTGCTTTCTCGTTTCTAAGATGTTCAACTTCTGGAGCTGAACCTTGATAGCCAAAGGTTTTGCTTTGGGTCTTCACATGTCCATATTAAAAAATCACAGTCATTTGTGTTCTATTAAGTGTTTCTAGAACATTTAAAAGTGCAAAACCTTTCAAATTTGTGCAAAAAAAGGAAGGAAATCAGATGTCATTTTTCAGAAATGGTACATCATACGGAAGGAAGTGTTCTGTTGGTTATGTCAATAAATGACTTCTAGGTGCTCGCAGGTCTGATGAAGTTGATGATGTTGAAACAATTTCTGACCCCTTTAAATGTTACTGCCCCAAATGATAATGATCGATCTCCCCCAGAGCAGACCAAATCAAGCACTTTTCTAATGTCCAGAGCTTGTGCGTGTGGGTTCCAGACATGACAATGAAAAGACTGTTATGTTGCTGTGCTTCTAGTCTAGCATTTTGCTTTGTTCTGGAGGTAGAGCTTGCAGTTCCACTCGCGTGGACTGCAGAGGTCAGGGTTCGGCTGTAGGTGCCACTGTTGTGTGCAAGCTCACTTGTTTCCTAGTTGCCTTTTCAGTCGTAGTTCAGGGGGATTGTTGATCAGAATATCAACTTTTGTTTGATTTTGGGTTCGCAGTGCTGATTATAGTGTTTTTGATATTTGTGGATGTAGAGGGATGCTAGCAGATCTCTCAGTACCTCAATTATGCAATGCACCATGCATCGAGATTTTATCTTTTCAAAATACTATTACACTGTTAATATACAGTAAAGCCTCCGATAAAGCCAGCCAGAAATGAAAATACTGTTATTAACTCAGCCTTGCACGCTATTCCAAACCTGTATGACAGGCAAATACAAAAGTAGATTGTTCTTTTCCATACAAAAAAAAGTAAATGTGGACCATACAACTTCTACAGTATATTTCAAGTAGCCATACAATAACTTAAGGTAAGTAATGGACCAGAAGTCATTATTCACAGAAAGTCTTCCGCTCCATCTCACCTACTGGCAAATTTGACACCAGTGATGACAAACAGCGTTTGGTTCTTGTGTCTTAACTGAGCACAACAAGTCAAAGTGAATGTGCGAATGAGATTTTGAGAGCTACGTTGGAGAGCAAAACTGCTAATATAGCACACATGCATTTTTTATTTATTTTTTTCTGTGAATCTGAGTCTAGATGTGTCAAACCAGTCTGTTACATGTCATTTACTTGTTTCTAATTGTGCTCTGTTAAGATATTTAGTTACAGCGTTTTGACTTTGCACAGCAGAGCAAATGTCCCCATTTAATTTCATTATATGGAAAAGAGCAGACTGGACATTCTGCTAAACATCCCATTTTGTGTTTGACAGCAGAAAGAAAGTCATACCGGTTCAGAACGAACTGAGGGTGAGGAAATGATGACAGGTTCTTCATTTTGGGCTGAACTGTCCCTTTACCTTCTCATTGCTCATGTGAAATGGGCTCTATAGTACTGTAAGAGGATGTTGCTGCTGTGATCATGTTCATTTGATGTGGTTAAGTGTTAGTGTGCGGCATTGGTGGTAGATGTAGAGCTGGTGTTGTAGTCACAGTGAACTCCCTTCCGCTTCTCAAACACTCAATACAGATGTAATCCGTCGTATGCAAATATTTGTATAACTGTGTCCGCTCAAGGCCACAAAGTTCCCACATTTGCATTACTGATTTGCACAATTAAATATATGCTAGGGTAGTATCCTAACAAAATGTTAACACACCTCTTCTCTTCATCTGGTATCTCCCACGTGTTTGAAGCTGTACATTCTCAAATTAGATTCATTTACATTTTGAAGCACTAAATTATCTATTATCTAAGACCGAGTAAAGTTTTGCAGCAAAGTAAGAACCTGAAGGTTTGCTAGATTTATTTTTCACCCAAAAGACAGCAAGATTTTTGACATGTTATTCACGCTTATAACCAATAGATGGCAGACATGTTTAGGTTTCTGTTACTCTCATCTTTGTCAGAATCAATGCATCCCTAGTGACCCTTTGAGACAGTTTGAGACACACATTTTCATAGTGTAAATAAGGGACAAAGAGTATGCTGCTGCTGCTTTTGGATTCAGATTCTCTTTTTTTTTCTTCTTCAGTCAAACACATTTGAATATAAGCAAACAATTAACTCATGCAATTGATTTTTTTTTTTGTCTTAAGGGATATACCATTTACCCAGATTTCCACTCTGCTAAGTCGCAAAAAGGAGTTCAGCGTGTGAGCTTGTCTTTGTGTGTGTGCGTCTGGTAAATTGTGCTTTTGCAAACCTATTGCAGCTTCAAGGCACAAACAAGAGGAAATTGTCAGTGAAATAACAGCTACTCTCTGTAGGAGTTTATGTTCTCCTTTCAATGTACTCATTGCTTGCGTTTAACGGATCCAGTTATTTAACGAAAGGTCAGCCACGCCGAGCATTGGACTTCAATAAGAGTGCAGTCATTTTTGTATTAAGAAAAAAAATGTATAAATACGTTCAAGTTATTTTTGTAAATCAAACACAGTTTTACAGTGTTTTTTAAAGATAAGAATGTATGCTGTAGGAGTTGAAGTCAGCTGAATTGGTGGTGGAGTCAGTATTCTGGAGCGTATGGCGAGAAGCCTCTTAAATCTGAGTGTTTCTTGTGAACAAACTAATTTCTCCATCAGTGATCTGACAAGGTATGATTTGAAAATATATATTTGTAGTAAGATTTTTCAAATGTTTGGGATGTTTAGTTCTGAAACTAGGATGTTCTTTCTTACGTGGCTAGTTTTCAAGCAGTCAGGCCTCCTGAAGTTTCTTCATTTTGATTTCTATTTTAAAGAAATTATGATACTTAATCACATTTTGAGTACATTTTTTAATGATTGTGGGTATGTCCACCATCAGTTTTCACACACTAAATTCTCTTATTTAATACAGTGGGCTTTGTTTTGCTATGATATAGCTTACTATTTTTATATGGTATGTTTTCATGGATGTGACAGAGCTACAGTCATCAGCATTCTACAATTTGCATGAGACTGAAACGTGCATGCACAGAACTGGCAGATGCAATTTATCTAATCATATTTGTGCATTACTTCAGGCTAATTGGGCAATTTGTGTTTGTTTTCAGCTGTTTTACCTTTCTCCTTGTTTGAAAGGTGACCCCCAGGCTGTGTGACAGTGCAATCTAGGAGGAAAGAACATGTGATTTTTATGTTAGTTTTATTTTATTTTATTTTTGCACCGTTTTAATAAAATTCTCATTGTATTTAAACAGTTGTTTGTATTGATTTTATTTTGCACCCTCATTCTACATTAACTGTGAAGTATTTGTAATAACAAACATCTTGTATCTGTACAGTGACACAAGAGATTTCAGCTGCATATACAAGGTTCCCGGAGAACCGGAGAATTTTACAATTTTAGTGGGGATTAAAGAGACAGTTGAGCCAAACAGGAAAATGTACTCGCCCTCAGGCCATCCAAAATGAAGATGAGTTTGTTTCTTCATCAGAACAGATTTGGAGAAATGTAGCATTCCATCACTTGCTCACCAATGGATCCTCTGCAGTGAATGGGTGCCGTCAGAATGAGAGTCCAAACAGCTGATAAAAACATCACAGTAATCCACACGACTCCAGTCCATAAATTGATGTGAAAAGATTTGTGTTTATAAATAATATCTTGGATGGCCTGAAAGTGAGTAAATTTATTTATTTGTTTGTTAGTACATTTTCAATTGTGGTGAACTATTCTTGTAATAAGGTCTTATTTTTTTTTTTTTAAAGAATAGACATTTCTGAATATACATTTTAATGCTCTGCTCTAAAATATTTCTTTGGCTAGACGCTGCTCTTTTTCCATCTCAATGATTTTTTTTCTAGTAATCCCAGTGTGGAAACCTAAATTAACCAGAACAAAAACGAGTGTAAGCAAGCATGCAGCTTGTTTTCTTCAGCTAAATGCTGCCGACGTCTGTCCTTCCAGTTGTTTCGGAAAGAACATAAGTCACTGCAATGTAAAGTCATTTAATTTTAATTTCCAGCAAGCACTGTCTGCCATTTAAGACTGCTATTTACCACAGCAGGTGATCTTTGCCCTGTGTCAGGATAAAGATCACAGGCTAAAGCATAAAGTTTACTGAATTTATATTAGATTGCTTAAGGCTTATTTTGCTTTCACTTCCTATAGAATGTGAGAAATTGCCAGATTAGTGCTCCAGATGTTTGTATTATTTATGAGCCATTTTTTGGGCTATTGCTTGAGTTCTTTTGCTCTAATAAATTCAAAGTGAGAGTCTGATGAATTAGTAATAGCAACACTGATATCTTTGGAATCAGTTTTCATTTGTTTTTGCTTTGCAGGTATCCATTTCAAATGGAAGCCTTTTCCACACTGCATCATGTTCATATCCACCTAAACGCTGATGCTGGACACATCGTAATCTAAAGACGCCTGTCTCAGTCTCTCTGCTGTTTGGAAGTTACTGTGAAATGGTTCTTTGATACTGCAGTGACAAGGTAATGACTCGAGGGTGTCAAAAACTATGGGAATGTGAAGTGAAGTGCAATATGTTTGAGCAGAAGAGAGTTGCATGCAACAGTCTTAATTGTTGTGAAAAAATTTATGAATATTGACTAGCATTTTGCACATTGATAAAGCATCAAATGAGATTTAACTACCTAATGTTCATTGCTTGGCAGGCGATTTATTTTTAGCATGCAAAACTTTTCCAAGAATTACTTGTGTGCACAGACACACACACATATATATATATATATATGGGTGTATATATACATGTATGGGTGTATATATATATATATACATAGTATACATGCGTGCTGTTATTCAAAAGTTTGGGATAAGTAAGATTTTTAATGCGTTATAATTTGAAATAACTGTTTTCTATTGTAATATATTATTATATATAGTAATATTATATTAAAATATTATTTATTTCTGTGACGCAAAGCTGATTTTTCATCATCATTACTCCAGCCTTCAGTGTCACATGATCCTTCAGAAATCATTCAAACATGCTGAAATATTATCCATTTTGAATATTTTTTTTTTGGGAAGCTTTGATACTTTTTTCAGGATTATTTGATAAAGTTTAAAAAGAACAGCATTTATTTAAAGTAGAAATCTTTTCGAACAATACAAGTCTTTATCACTTTTTATCGATTTAACACATCCTTGATGAATAAAGCATTCATTTCTTTCAAAAAGAAAAAAAATACTGACCCCAAACATTTGAACCGTAGTGTACAGTATATTGTCACAAAAGATTTCTATTTTATGTATACACATACACTAAAAATTATATATATATGAAAGGTCAGATCCTGTGGGTAATTCATACAGAAAATTTGAATGTCATTTATAGTATGCATACTATATTCAGTGTAAATAGTACGAGTAGTATGATATTCGACATGGCCACTGATGTCCAAAAGTGCTGCTCACTAGGTTTTGAAACAGCGCACAGAAGTGGATTCAGTTTTGGCGGTACTGGCCCTTTAAGAGACTCAGTCCTGGATTCTGTTACTCCGTAACACCCGTGTCATTTCACTATGGCGAAGGGGCTGTAAACAAATGCGGTGGGGAAAAAGCGCGTCCTAAGTGTGAAAAATAGATGATTTCGCGTTTAATTGAGTATATTAACATAGTACGGATGGAGAAATGAGTGAAAGCGCTTTAGTGATGCAGACAGGACGCGGACCCTCAGATTTCAGTAACATGGACAGAAACCTCTTTCAAATACACCATTTATCCTGTTAGTCCGGAGCTGTTTTAGATTCAAATCATGCTGACAGGGTCCAAAACCACCTTTAAAGTGAGACAGATGGTTCCGGACATGAAGGTAAGCTTTACGGTTGAATAATAGCCTAATATAAATAGTCATCATTTATTCATAAGTGTATTGTTGTTTTCTCATTTCTGCGTCGTCTACATATAAACATTGTAATTCATATTACTGAGAAGGGTTCAAACATATCCATGTAAATTGTATGTATTTCATCTGTCAGTTCATAACAGTTGGGCGAATAATTAAAGTTGCACAGACGTTGCATAAACAGTCACATTCCCAGGAAAACTGCATCCATTAAATTCATTATTTTACCAGAAATAGGTTGTCTGGCATATGAATTTGAACTCCGGTTAGCTCGATTAACTTTTAGACCTGAACTACATCAGTGCTTTTAGTAGATTTCAGATGCTGTGATTGTGAATGCTGGAATAGAACTGACCGTTCTGTACTACTCTATCCTCTAGATATAACTTGTGAAACTGCATTCACATCATTTCAGTTCAGTTCACTAGAAACTCTTTAAATGGAATTGTCGACAATCTGTGGTTGAGGAGTCGGTTTTTCCATTTAGGAAAAAAACTCTCTAAAAGGAGAAAAAAATAACAATAAAAAAAGCATAAATCTGCTTTAGTGGGGAAGTAATGTCTGGCTGGTTGTATTTGTTACTTAAAAATTATACAGTCTAAATATGTTTGAATAACAGCCTCCTTTATTGGATTTTCAGATGGGATTATTGTTTCATTTTTATACACTCCTAGCATGTGACGAGATTATTTTTTTAATGATTTTTGTTCATTCATGCATTTAAGCATGCTGGGAGACATTAATGTTATATATATATATATATATATATATATATATATGTGTGTATGTATGTGTGTGTGTGTGTGTGTTATATATTATTATTATTATTCATTCATTTATTTTACCATTCACTTTTGTTGTATACAAAAAAAAAACATTTATACTCCATTATTTTATTGATTTATTTTGGAGATTGAGAGTATAAATTACCTTTCACTTCTGTTGTTTAGAAAAGAGCAGATTGGACATTCTGCCTGGCATCGTCTTTTGTGTTTAGGCTCTATATAAACATGTTTAAAAAAAAAAAAAAAAAAAATATATATATATATATATATATAATAAAAATGACTAAAACACTCAAACTACAATTAAAGTGAAATCAAACAAAAAATAAATAATAAAATCTACTACAAAATATTGACAATAACAATGATACTAAAATGACACTGATTTTAGTATTTAATATTTTGGATTATTTTTTAATTTTATATTTTCTTTTTCATTTTCAGTGTTTTAGAAATGTTAAGATGTTTATTCGTTTTTGTCTATAGTTCTTATTCATTTTTATTTCATTTTGAGTTATTTTAGTACATCAAGTTAAGCTAAATGAAAATGAGAAATGTTGCCTTCAAAACTAGCTAAAATAACTTTAAAAAAATATTTTTTCATTTAATGTTTCATTTGATTTCAAGTTACAAAAAATGGTAATATATTTAATATTGATTCCCCCCCTCCCCCCTTTTGCACTATGCAATGATGACACATGATGCTTTAGTTGGGAAATAAAGCAAAGGCAGCGACCCGGCTAGACAAGAACGATTTTTAATTTCAAGTATGTTAGTCTGAGAACAACGGTGCTATTTTTAACCATCTGAACTGACATACAGAGAAAATACTTCAAACGTTTTATAGAAATAGATGCATTGTTCCCATTTGTTGACATTTCTCTGCAGCAGAGAGATGCACGTGAAGAGCGCATGAAAATAACGAGCCACCGAACAATAGCTCAGCTCTATAAAGCTCTAGGTTTAAGCGTCCCCCCCGGGCCTCTAGTTGCCTCATTTAGCTCTAGATTGATGCTCCGCACAAAGGCTTATTGTGCTTCTAGGCAATGACTAATAAACCTAACAGTGTGAGGTTTATATGGTGGCACAGTGCATTCCCATTGGCCGTCTTGTTTCTGCAAGTCTGGCAGGGCTGATTCGGGGAGAGGAGGCCTGTATGTTCCCTCAGCTGCATTCTCTGGCCACAGAAACCAGGGGAAGCCATGAGCAATGGAAACTGCAATGAGTCTTGGCTGCTTCTGCCCTCAGAAGCTGAGAGAAGGGAGGGAGGGAGGGGTGTGATTAATGGTGAAGAAAGAGGCAATGAAAAAGATTACACGATAGCGGTGGCGACCATGTGACTCGAAGAACTGAACCCTCAGCAGAAAAGTTTTTTTCCCTTTCGTTTATCTGTCCTGCACTTATTGCACATTTATTCACTTCCTCAGAGCAGTCCAGTTTCCTGGGCTTTGAATGCTTAATGACTCCTGTCTGTAGATCTATATTCTTTTAGGAATTCTGCAGGGTTGAATTTCGATTTAAATCCCCATGAATGCAGATGCAAGAGCGTGTGTGTTTGTTTTGAACACCTTGTTGCTGATCACAGGGGGATAAAAAGTGTCCATTTAAAAGATTCAGACTGAAAACAAACTAACACTTTACACGCATTTGTTCCTGTCCTAGTTACATTTTCAAATGTAGCATCTGTTTAGAAACACTTTGTTGTTGTGGTGTTTTCCTTCAGGTCTTGGCCGGAACACCAGCCTTTAAAAGTTCAAAAACAAAAACACCTGTCAAGATGTTCAAAGGAAACCAGAATAAAACATTTTTTCCCTCTTGTGCTGGTGAATTTTATTATGGGTGCCTCTTGAAACTAAATTTATACAAAACTGAAACTAAGCAGTAAATAATTTTATACATGGTTGATAGGCATGTGTTCCCAAAAATAATAGTATAGCATCATAAATAAATATTTATTTTCCAAGAAAACTTGGTATATTCATTCATTCATTTAAATTATTAATTTTATTTTTATTTATTTCAATTTTTAATGTTTTTTTTTGGTTTGTTTTTTGCAAGTTGTTTTTTTCAGTATCAAGACTGTTTCATATTAGTGATTACCTCACACGTTTCCAGAAGGTGCTAATGTGGACAATGCAACATTTCTAGAACCTGTTTTGTTCTCTTACTATCTTTCCTGTCCTTTCGCCATTAAACATGGCTGAAAGGTAACAAATAATAAATAATGTTTTAAAATAGTTCAGTTGATATCTTAATACACCTATTTCTATGAAACAAAAAATGTTATACAGTATCACACAGAAGTGAGTACACCCCTCACATTTTTGTAAATATTTAATTATATCTTTTCATGTGACAACACTGAAGAAATGACACTTTGCTACAATGTAAAGTAGTGAGTGTACAGCTTGTATAACGGTGTAAATTTGCTGTCCCCTCAAAATAACTCAACACACAGCCATTAATGTCTAAACCGCTGGCCACAAAAAATCACACAAGTAGCTTCATTTACAAGAGGTTAAAGCGGAACACACTGATGTTATCAACCCATTTATAACTAAGCGTCTTTCATTTGTGAGTCACTACTGGGTAGAACAGGGGTTGTTACAAGGTCTCAGGTGTGAATGGGGAGCAGGTATGTTAAATTTGGTGTTATCGCTTTCACTCCGTCATACTGGTCACTGGAAGTTCAACATGGCACCTCATGGCAAAAAACTCTCTGAGGATCTGAATAATAGAATTGTTGCTCTACATAAAGATGGCGTAGGCTATAAGAAGATTGCCAAGACCATGAAACTGAGCTGCAGCACGGTGTCCAAAACCATACAGCGGTTTAACAGGACAGGCGCTTTGTAGAAAACGAAGCGTTTGAGAGAGGCGGGGCATAGAGGACCTACAATAATGTACAGTATTTGAAAAATAATGTGTTTTTTTGAACATTAAAGTATGTCAACATATTCTGTTACACCAAATACACAAAATAATGATCTTTAAAAAAGCATCATATGACCCCTTTAAGAAAAAATTAAAGAAGAAAAATGTGTTTTATGTGGTTTTCTATTCATTGAAAATATTTATTTTCTGGTCGTTTGAGAAATTTTAATAGAAAAATGTAAAACAGTGCTCGACTTGCATGTTGACACTGGTAGGGTGGTTTAGTCAAACTGAATGTTTGAAGAACTGCAGTTATTATCTGCGTGATGCAGCCAGATGGATCTGGTTCAATCTCGCATTATGAAAGTTACAGAGATGCTGAAGCTCTTTCTCGATTGAGGTGTGTTGGAACTGTGGGTTCAGACCTCTGGAAGTATGTTACCCCTGTTCTACCCAGTAGTGACTCACAAATGAAAGACGCTTCGTTATAAATGGGTTGATAACATCAGAGTGTTCCGCTTTAAGCTCTTGTAAATGAAGCTACTTGTGTGATTCAGTTGCACTGTGGGGAAATGAAACCCGAAAGACTATTTACTAAGAGATTAATGCAATTTAAATATAGTGCAAGGAGGTGCTTTCTTGCATCTAGTTAAAAATAAACCACTTTTCTGAACAGTGCATATAAATGTAGGCCTCATTTCCTGTGTGCCTCTATCAAAAGGCAAATAAAATACATGCAAAACTGTATGTTTGCATAGCGTGCATCAGCCAGACTTGAATTGTTTGATATTTTGAGATGTTTAGCATTAACCAGTGTCTGCTTAATATGTTAATATGAGTCAGAACTTCCTGTTTTTGAATGTTTTGAGACAAAAATATATAATGTATAGTGCATATGTCGGAACGTCACCTGACCAAACTGGAAAACTGGTCTCATTGCATCTGCTTGTCAACGAAAGTATTAACAGCAGTATGAACTAATGGCGATATCTGTGAACTTTTATAGTAATCTGCTAACCTTGCTAGTTGTTATTGTTGCTGGTGTTTTATTCAATTTTAATATCCGAATGTTATTGAGAAGAAGAAAAATAAACTTTTAGATATCATTTTGCATCAGTTATGATAATCTTTGGGATCTCCTTTGAAGGCAGCTTGAGTAAAACGGCTCAATATTTAACGAAGCACATACAAAAGACCTGAACTGGAAGTGACGCTACCTGTTTTAAAGAATGCAGAAAGAATGTTTTTTGCACATATAACCCCTATTCATTTTACCATACGATATGACAACCTTCATTTCTTTATTATCTCTCTGTGTTTGCTACAGGAGAGGATGATGAGCCACAGTAGCCTTCATGCACGCGGGAGAGATGTGCTTGGCCTCTGCTGTTTGCCAGGTAAATCTTACAATGCAATCTTATTTGTATAATATATTGACATTTATAACAGGATTTCCCGTTTTCCTAATTACACTACCGTTCAAAAGTTTGGGGATTAAAAAAAAATGTTTTTAATGTTTTTTAATAGGCTGCATTTATTTGATAAAAAATACAGTAATATTGTAAAATATTATTACATTTTTTAAATAACAATTTTTTTCTATTTGAATATATTTAAAAATGTAATTTATTCCTGATACAAAGTTGAATTTTCAGCATTACTCCAGTCTTTAGTGTCACGTGAAATTTCAAAAATCATTCTAATATGATGATTTTCTACTCAAGAAACATTTCTTTTCAACTGTGTTGAAAACAGTTATTGTTGCATTTTTTTCAGGATTCTTTGATGAATAAAAAAATCAAAAGAACAGCATATGTTTGAAATAGCCTTTTTTGTAACATCATACATTTCATTACTGTCACTTTTGATCAGTGCATACTTAATGTATAAAAGTTTATTTATTTCTACAAAAAAGTACAACGTAGTGTAAGTAGTTCTGTCAGGAATGAAGCTACTTATAATTATGTATAGATTGGAGCATGTCAAACTACAGTTTCATCAATTTCATACAGTTCGTAAATGCAAATTTACAATAAAAACTATTTTATTAGACTAAAAAACATTGAAAAGCAAAAAGATCTGTATTTTTGCTACAAAAAAAAAAATTTGTAAAATGACATTTAGAAAAAAAAACTAATGAGTGATTCATGAATCAGTAAATCATATTGTTGAATCAGATTATTGAAATCGGTTAATTCACAAACCAAGCTTCCGAACCAAATGATTGCCTGAAATGAATCAGACTTCCCAACGCCGTTTGAGAGAGGGGAGTATTCCAGGAGAGTGTGTTTGTTTAGTACAGTGTGACATACAAAAACAGTGATGTAGTGTTTTGGCATGTGACTCTCTACTGAAATAAGTAGTCATGTTAGTAGCATGCTGCTTTCAGGTTGATCCCCGACAGGAAAGCACCAGGTCTGGATGGTTGTGGTCAGTCGGCCTCTGTGGGTGTGAATGGCTTCAGTAGGGCTGGACGATATGGCCAAAATTGATATATATTTATTAATTTCGGTCGATACGATATAATTCCGATATCGATATGAACACTATTTATCTGAAATGGGAAATCTTTTGTAACATTAAAAATGCCTTTATCATCACTTTTGATCAATTTTAAGCATCCTTGCTAAATAAAAGTATTAATTTCTATAATTTCTTTCCCAAAAAAATAATAACAATTATACAGAATGGAATAGTGTATAATGTTACAAAAGCTTTTTATTTCAGATAAATGCTGATCTTTGGATCTTTCTATTCATCAAAGAATCCTGAAAAAAAATTGTACTCAACTGTTTTAAATATTGATAATCAGCATATTAGAATGATTTCTGAAGGATCATGTGACACTGAAGAGTGGAGTAATGATGCTGAAAATGTACCTATGTATGATCACAGGAATAAATTACATTTTAAAATCTCTTCAAATAGAAAGCAATTTTAAATTGTAAAAATATTTTAACATTTTACTGTTTTTGCCGTACTTTGGATCAAATAAATGCAGCCTTGGTGAGCAGAAGAGAATTCTTAAAAAAAACAAAAACATAAAAAATCTTACTGTTCAAAAACTTTTGACTGGTAGTGTAGGCTGATTATTCTTATAGATTGAAACAAATGTGCTTCAGCCAGAAAAAAGGGTATGAAAAGTGCTCCGAGTCGCTGCAGAAAACAAAAAAATTGAACAAAAACTGTAAATGTTGCTGGAGATGGGCTTATTTAAAATGCAAACTCATTCTCTGCCAGCAAGAGGCGCTTTTAGAGTGCTAAAACTAGCGGTTTCTCCAGTAACGGCTGTAATCACAGCAGCTCCGCTCTTGAATGCTACTTTATCAGATCAAATGAAAATGCCATCGAAACTTTTCTGAAGACAGTCGGTTCCCTTCAGAGATACATTCATATAAAACACCCGCACCGTGTTATGATTTTGAAATGTATGGGAAACTGGTAATGTACAGGTGCATCTCAATCATCACAAATTGGTGGGTTTTTGTTAAATGTGAGCCAAAATCATCACAATTAAAAGAACCAAAGACTTAAACTACTTCAGTCTGTGTGCATTGAATTTATTTAATACACGAGTTTCACAATTTGAGTTGAATTACTGAAATAAATGAACTTTTCCATGACATTCTAATTTACCTGTATATCGAAATATCGGAAATGTTTAAAAATCCTATCACCGTTATTGAAAAACATTATATTGCGATACATATTGATATTGAATTATTGTCCAGCCCTAGGCTTCAGAAAACAATGGCTCAGTGTGCAGAGTGTGTGTTGAAGCCCAGCAGCCCCTCACCATAATCTCAGCGTCAGCAGTGTGTTTAAGCAGCAGCTTTACTCAGGAATGTTGGCAGGCTGTGAGTCCGACCCGGACAAGCTAATCTGTAATGCTTCCTATCAGCATTTACGTTCAACGGCCCTTTGGGAGCACAGAGGGTTTCCCACCACGTCAACATTTATTAGAGCCGCTCACCTCAGCACTTCACTCACACACAGTTCAGTATTTGTTGATATTTATCTTGCATAATCTCTTACTGTTTGGACACCAAACACACACACACTCCTGTCTGTTTTTACTTTCTTCTCAAGGACATTTAAAACAGTGGCCCCCAAAATGTGTTTGGACCCTTAAATCTCACTTTAAAATGTCTAAAAGCTATTGCAGGATTTATTATTTATTTTTTTTAGCATTATTAGCTGGTAAACTGGTGTGGCAGTAATTTTATTTTTTATTTTTTTAAAGGGGTCATATGATGTTGCTAAACAGAACATTATTTGGTGTAATGAAATGGGTTTGTGCGGTTTAAGGTTAAAAAAACACATTATTTTCCACATACTGTACATTATTGTTTCTACTCTATGCCCCGCCTTTCTGAAACGCATCGATTTTTACAAAGCTCATCGGTCTGAAAAGCGTGGTGTGCTGTGATTGGCCAGCTATCCAGTGCGTTGTGATTGGCCGAATACCTCAAGCGTGTGACTGAAATGTTACGCCCCTTACCATATTGTCATGCCTTGTCCTGGCCAGAGCGATGAGACCAAAACATTAAAACCCATTATAAACTAGGCATTCGTTGCATCCAGTGGGGACATAATTACTGATTATAATGACTTATACTGTCTTTTTACGTGTTGCATTGCATCGCGCCGCGTAAACATAAAACCATGTCTGCATTTGTGATTGGAGAAATGACAAACAACAAGCGCTACTCTACACTGCTCAAAACTTGCGTTTGAATCGTCAGTGGCAAATTCTTTAAATATAAAAAAAACGTACTTACAGTCTGTGAGTCAGAACAGCCGGCATTGTAGTCTAATCTACCAGGATCAGGAAACAGTCCTCCATAAAATGTGCTGCACACATCTGAATATTTGGGTTGAAGTGTTCTGGAACAGTGTTGTAAATACAACTTAACCACTGATTTCTAGTCGTGTCCTCTTTTGGAAGACCAAACGAAGTAGTTTCGCTTTCACAACGAAACACAGCGCCACACACGGCGGGCTAGAGTGAGCGGCGGCAGGGAGGCTTGCGGCAACCACATGTGGCGACTCCGCTTCGTCAACGGTGAAAGCCTATCTGGCGATCCACAGCGTGAAGTTGATGTACCAGCACGGATCAGCTCCAGGCATGACGAAGCGGATATCGTCCTCTTTTGGAAGACCAAACGAAGTAGTTTCGCTTTCACAACGAAACACAGCGCCACACACGGCGGGCTAGAGTGAGCGGCGGCAGGGAGGCTTGCGGCAACCACATGTGGCGACTCCGCTTCGTCAACGGTGAAAGCCTATCTGGCGATCCACAGCGTGAAGTTGATGTACCAGCACGGATCAGCTCCAGGCATGACGAAGCGGATATCGTCCTCTTTTGGAAGACCAAACTAAGTTGTTTCGCTTTCACAACAAAGCACACGGCGCCTTCACGACTTGGCGGCGGTGGCAACAATACTACAGCGAGAATAAAAGTTACGCCTTCTTTCTTTTTTACAGATCTTCTTTATGCACCAAGAGCTTGTAACACTCCAAAGTAGGCTTGCTGCAATAGATGGTGTTGACGGTTATACCGGTGTTAAGCCGCAACACCGGTTATGTCACTTGCCCACCGTGGCACCGATCCCCACCGTCGTTTTGATTTTTTATAGTAATAAAAATCATTTAGTTCAGTAAAAGGACAGACACTACAATTCAAAACGGAACGCGGCTGCTCAATGCAGCGTGCCGAACGACAGTCGCGTCACAGATCAGATTTCATTTATCCAGTGAGGAGAGTGAGTCAAGCTTTCGTTTTGCTAATAAACGTTCTACATTCTTATTTATTTGGTTATATATATTATACGTTTACTTAATGTTTTTACTTATTTAAACTTTATGTAAGTTATTTGTTATTTTATATTAGGCATAGCCTGCCCTATAGAATGGTGTATTTGTAATTGTTTTGTTAATAAAATTTCTGTTTTATATATACGCTAAAGTGAGTTTGACGTTGTATTTTGTTGTTGCATTCAAGCAATTGACGCCAAACTGCCGCTAATTCTAAAGTGAAAGTAAAATGCGCACGGCGCATTTAAGCTATTTAAAAGCGAAGGAAAGTGAGGGAAAGAGGGGAAAATTCAAACGAACTAAAAACGAACAATTTCTTTACGCCGAATCGCCGCTATTTCAAAGTGAAAGTAAAATGCGCATGCTGCTTTTACAAGCTATTTAAAAGCGAAGGAAAGCGAGGAAAAGAGGGAACGCCCCGCACCCCCACGGTGATACCGGTGTTGTCACACGTCGATTAACCGGTGGGAAAATTCCTCACCGTCACAACCCTACTCCAAAGAGAAAGGAAAAATTTAAATCGCATCATATGACCCCTTTAATTTTTCGGTAAGGATGCCATAATTTGATCAAAAGTGGCAGTAAAGACATTTATAATGTTACAAAAATATTTTAAATAAATGCTGTTCTTTTTAACTTCATATTCATCAAAAATCCTGAAAAAATGTGTCATGGTTTCCACAAAAATATTAAGCAGCACAACTGTTTTCAACATTGATAATAATTAGAAATGTTTCTTGAGCAGCAAATCAGCATATTAGAATGATTTCTGAAGGATCATGTGACACTGAAGACTGGAGGAATGATGCTGAAAATTCACCTTTGCATCACAGAAATAAATTAAATGTTAAAATATATTTAAATAGAAAACTGTTCTTTAAAATTGTAATAATATTTCACATTATTACAGTTTTTACTGCATTTTTAATCAGATAAACAGCCTTGGTAAGCATTAGAGACTACTTTCACAGATCTTTATACTAGTGTATACACTAGTACAAGATAGACATAAATGCAGTAGTAATTTATAGGCCGTGTAGACAGCATAGATGATAATATTGGCTGAACAGCAGTCTGAGGCAGCACGTCATGGTTTCTCTTTTGTTATGGAATCTTCATTCATTTTAATCCTAGATGTCTAAGATAGACTCTCCTAAGACAAGTCTCATTCATTCACAGTGGTTTGAATATGGAGTGCACGAACTCCGTTTAACCTTTCGGAGTCAAAGGGCTCACATTGCAGAGACCCGTGGACACACACATGCTCTCATGGTCAGTACAGTCATGTGTAAGACTCAGATAACCCTCCAAAGCAGGGAAGTGGAAACGGAATCAGTCAGAGGAGTTTGAAAGAGTAGATTATACTGTATATACTGCTGACAGCCTGCTATTTAAAAAAAAAAATTATGTATTATGCCGTGATAAATTATTTACACATGTAGTACGCTACATTGTCACATGACCTCATTATGTTTCAAGTTGAATTGAGAAAATGGCATCCAGTTATCATCTCATAATCAAATTCAGAGGCATTTTGCATTTTGATACTGTATTTTTGTGGCATGCTTTGGTTGCATACTGCACATTTCATCAGATGCATACAAAAAAAAATGACATTGCGCATGAACCATACTGCATACTGTAACAGTAGTATGGGAGTATGCGGTTTTAAACACCCCAGATGCTGTTCGTTGTTTAATTGTTATAAAGATTTAGCTTGTTCTTATTTTTGTTGTTGGATGGGTGAAAAGAAAGGAATTAGTTTTTTGGCAGTTAATGCAGCAGATGTCTTTATTTAGCTGTGTTAGTGAATTTTTTTATTTGATTTTGTGGTTAATTCCTGTAACTTGGACAAATTAGAGAAAATAAGTTTAGGGGGAAAAAATTGTGCATTTTGAGTTCCAACAGCAAACCAACCACTGACAGAGACATTTTGGCTGAAATATTAGCATCCCATGTATGTATGTTTGTATTAATTAATTAATTAATTAATATTATTTTATATTATAGTTTCTTCCCTCAGGCAATCCATCTCATGAACAGTTAACTTGGCAATAAACGTTTAATACACAACATGATTTATACTTTATTTATTTAGCACACATACCTCCTTGCATTTGTACATAACACACCTGTACACACACATACCATCTATTGTCTACTTTATATATTGTGTATTATTTTAAAATAGTTTTTGTATATTGTTATTTCCTGTTTACTTATCCTAGTATTTTTATTCTTTTTATTATCTGTGTCTTGTCTTGTCACTATAATCTGTTTGTGCTGTGGAAGATTCTGTCACCAAAACTAATTCCTCATACTGTATGTGTAAACATACCTGGCAATAAAGCTCTTTCTGATTCTGATTTAAATAATTTATTGTTTATTTTAATTTATTTTTAATGATTCATTTTGTAATTAACAATTTATTTTATTTTTAATTATTTGTTACTTTGAATTAGTTATTTTTATTGTATAATAATAAATATTATTTTTAAATTATGCATTCATTTTTAAATTATTTACTTTCATATTTATTTTATTTTACTGCATTGCATTGCATTGCTGTTCATAAACCCAGGACTGTCCGATTTCTCTAGAAACCCAATTGTGTAATATCAGAAAGTAAAGGCATTTTCTGTGCGATTTTTCCATAAAAAAAATCACTAACAGCACCTTTTAAGGGAAGTGCTCCGAGCTGTTAGGCCTTATTTTTGCCTTATTGGTTTAAGGTCACTGTTACCTAGTAAAACCTTGCTGGGAATGTCTTAACTGCAAGCTTATGAAATAATAAAGAGTTTGTTTGCTCTGTTATCATGGGAATGTGAGATGTGACCTTGCTTCATGGTTTCTCATTCATGTGACGTCATGCAGTAGCCTAAAACCTGGAACAAACCGGTTGATGTGGCCCGGAGAGGTTTGACCAACATGGCATGGCTCTGGTAGCGCACGCTACTCTTGCCTGAAAGTGAAGTTTCATGGAAAACAAATGTTGACAAAAACAAATCAAACTGGACGTGTGGTTCAAATTACTGTAGTAAAGCAGCAACTTAATGAAACTCAAAGCAGCCCGGGAGAAATTCATTATTAACGATAATGAACATTATTCATTATAGAAATTCATTATTAACATAATGAACGTGTTATTCATTATGACTGAAAGTTTTATTTTGAGCTAAATTAAGAAAAAGTGAATTTGGCAAACTGAAATGAATCAGATTTATTTTACATGTATAACAATTAACTTATTGACTTATTAATGTGTGTGTATGATTTACTAAGCTGCTGGCAACATTGTAACACGAGATCAAATAAAAATCTATTTTGCCTATAATATATATTTATTGCTATGTTTATTGAATTAGCTTTCATTTTCATATTTTCAATTTTAATTTTAGAGTAGGTTTTAGTCATTTTTTGATTGTTATATATATATATATATTGCATATTATTTAGCTATATATATATATATATATATATATATAATTTCAGTTTTAATGGTTTTAGAACTTCAATTTAAACCCATTTATTTCTGTAAATTGCCAAATTTAAAGTGTTTTTAAAATTTTTAAAAAGTGTTTTATTTAATATTTATTTATATTTTATTTTATATTATTTAAACTTTATTATTCTTAAAAGAACAACTGAAACAATTAGAAGCCTTGAATATATTTCACCGTTCATGAAAGTGTCCAGTGCATCCTAAGCGCTCTGTTTTTCTAATAGCACAATAATCACCGTGACGGTCCGATCTCACTGCTTCCGTCCTGTTCTCTCTGACATCTGCTTCCCATGATGCCTCAGGAATGAGTTCTGAGATCCAACTCACCCTTGAGAGTCTCTGGTGGGTTTAAGGGACTCTCACTGCATTAAACCTCTGTTCTTTGCTTTCACTTTTTTATAATTGTGTGAGTTTTATGTCAACAGAATGGCCAAAAGGCCACATATCCTTTATACATATGACCATATGTCTACAGAGACTTTAAAGTTTCCCTTTGAATTAAAAGCCAGGTGTTTGTGTAATTCCTTCCACAGATCACACATTTTCCTATTACTATTTTACACTTTTAGCATAATATTGTATATGACCTCCAGGCTAACAGACATGGACTAAAAGTCACAAAAGGCACGTAGTTTTCATGTGCGATTTGTTTTTGCAGGAGAGTGTGTGCTACAGCGAGCCGTGCTGGTGAGGAAGAAGCTGTCGGCTAAAGAAGGAGGAGGCTGGTTGTCTGGGACTCTGTTCTGCACTCATTTCAGAGTGGCCTTCGTGCCTCAGGACAGCCAGAAACCTGACGTGAGTGCCACAGATTGCTGAGATGTTTCCGGGATGAGAATTCCAGCACAGTTTTTTTCTGTGTAAAGTTGAGCCTCTAAAGTCTCTGGCAGTCCTCTGCAGATGTATTTATCTTGATTTATCTTGATTCTTTTTCTCCTTATTCAGGACAATGCAGATCCTGTGCTGCTCGGAGATCATGATGTAGCTCTAGCCTCTATTGACAAAGTGGTGGCAGGTAAGGCAATCTCTACAGACAGATAAATGGATACATATTTTCATGAAACCTATTTTTATATACATGTCCAGGTCACATTTTAGCCATATGTTTTAAATTAATGCATATAAATGTGTGTTGTAGTGGGACCGTCTCGGACCAAACTAGTGACCCCTACCTGCTCCCTAAAATTCACCCCAGAGGAACTGGTGTTGTACTGCCGAGACCTGCGTGTCCTCTGCTTCCTGTTCGACAGACTCACGCCCGATACTCAAGCTGTGGAGGTTTGTCTTAATATAAGAAAACATAAGGGAAGGCTGCATTTATTTGATCAATATACAGTAAAAATAGTGAAATATTATTACAATTCAATTATTACAATTATTACTGTATTCCGGTGATGTTAAAGCTGAATTTTACTGCCACTTTTCAATTTAATGCATCCTTGCTGTATAAAAGTATTAATTCCTTTAAAGGGGTGGTTCACTGGCTTTTTTCTAGGCTTGATTGTGTTTATGGGGTGCAGTCTAACATGTGTTAATGCTTCGTTTTTTTAAAAACTCATTATTTTTCACATAATTTACCTTTATTCCACACCTCTCTGTCCCTTCTCTGAGAAACGGGCTGATCTCTTCCTGTTTTTATGAAGCCCCGCCCTCAGAAATAGGCGATGGGCTCTGATTGGTTAGCTAGCCCAGTGTGTTGTGATTGGCTAAACCACCTCTAGTCTAATCGTCCCGCCCCTCACCTCAGCGGCACGTGTTCCGGTTGTATTGTAAACAGCAACGTCGTTAATATGGCTTATCAGTTTGAGCCCGATTGAGAAGCAGAGGATATTATTGAAGAGGATCGTGCAGAACCTGTGCAAGCACGGCTTTTAATGGAAGGCCTATGTTTTTTGTTTGTTGTTGTCTCATGCTTTTAGATATGCTGTTATTTGTAAATGCTACTGCTTCTGTTAGCTTTTAATATACGGTTTTGTCTTGATTAAAGCTTTAATACAGTACGGCAACTGCACGCACGCGCGTCCATGTTTAACGCCTCTCATAGCTATGAGAAAATAAGTGTATAAATGGAACCGAACTGAGCTGATGATCTGAATGAGAGAGAGAGAGAGAGGCCCAGCAAAACATTACACACTAACGTTAAAAAAGTGAAATCGCAATCAACCACCCCTTTAAAAAAAATCTTACTGACCCCAGAATTTTGAATAGTAGTGTTCTTACGCAAGTGTGCAAATGCTGATGTGTATCCTGAGCTGTGACATCAAAGCCATAAGACAGGAAAAAGAAATGCTTTTAAGAGGCAAACAGAATTGTTTACAGGCAAAATATCTACTATTATTCTATTCTATTATAATTTTTTAATGGCCATCAATGGAGGAAGTTGCTTTTTTTAACCATGAGGCCGTGCTAACCTAAACTTTGAGCTTGAAGTATTTGCTTTTACTGTACATTATTCTGGAGTATGTTTCAAGCCTTTGTTGATCATCATACTAATGACTACCACTCTACTTAACTTGCTTTCAGATCACGTATACCATTGGTAAAACCTACCAACCACTGAAACCTGGAACCATCCTCTCCTTCCAAAATGCTGCTTTGGGTAGTATTGGTAAGTTATTGCTAATCAATACAAAAAGCCATTCTGACAGCATGGAGAGGAAATCCTGACAGCACACATACATCACCCAGAGAGGTCTATTTGATGCGTTTGTTTTTCTTTCTTGAAGATACCATTTTTGCTCATCTGCAGTATGACTCCAAATCATTCCTTGAGGGTTGCCAGCAGATGTTTTTGCAATATTTATAATTTAGAATATGTGGACCACAAAACCAGTCTTAAGTCGCTGGGGTATATTTGTAGCAATAGCCAAAAAAACATTGTATGGGTCAAAATTATAGATTTTTCTTTTATACCAAAAATAATTGGGTAGATAATTTAAGTAAAGATCATGTTCCATAAATATATATTTTGTAAATTTCCTACCGTAAATATATCAAAATGTAATTTTTGATTAGTAATATGCATTGCTAAGAACTTCATTTGGACAACTTTAAAGGCGATTTTCTCAATATTTAGATTTTTTTTTTGCACCCTCAGATTCCAGATTTTCAAATAGTTGTATCTCGACCAAATATTGGCTTATCTATCCTAACAAACCATACATCAATGGAAAGCTTATTTATTCGATGATACTCAGATTCCAGATTTTCAAATAGTTGTATCTCGACCAAATATTGGCTTATCTATCCTAACAAACCATACATCAATGGAAAGCTTATTTATTCGATGATATATAAATCTCAATTTCAAAAAATTGACCCTTATGACTAGTTTTGTGGTCCAGGGTCACATATGGTCTTTCTAAGATGTTCCACATGACACACTTTTTAATAGATATCTTTGATATGTGTGCTACTGGGAAGAATATAAATTTCAAGTAGGCATGCATAAACATGTAGGAATTTGTTGTACATTTTGGTTATTGAGTTGATTCTGAAGCACCGGCAAGTGAGGGAATGTGTTTTAGATCTCTATTATAGTTGTAGGTAGGAGTGGCCAATATATTGTATTACTAAAAATATATGTACATGTATGAATTAGAAGATTTTGTAAGTAATAAATAAACCGCAACAATTACCTACATATTAAGTATTAGTATACAGATGAATATAAATGTAAAATGGGTCATTTTTTTTCTTGTGGCCATTGAGTGAAAAACTTGTGTTTTCATATTTTGATATATTCATTTTTAATACAATTACTCCGTTATATTATTTATTTAGGATTAATTTATTATTGTATTTTACTACTTCCATTAAACACTTTGAATCTACTGAAATTATGGTATGATGGTTCCATTATATTGTCAGAAAGCTGAGGAATATTGAAATATATTAAATAAAACACATATTTGATATTCAAATGAATCATAGAAGGAAATGTTAGCTAAGCCATGTCTCTGAGAGGGAAAGTGACCGTCAACCAGATGAATAATGGAAAGTAATCTGAAACGGGTCACCTTCTAGCCCTTTTTCAACCTTGTCAAGGTTTGTTTGTACTCAATGCATGTTCATTGCACCCGTCCACTAGCTCTGCAGTAAGCTAATTGAATTTGCAGCTCTCGGGAGGTTTTGCACAAAAACCAGATCTTGTAATCAATCCAAACGTTCAATGCTTCTCTACGCGGTCTACAGAAATGAAGCAGTTCCTGAGCAACAGGCAGCGTGACCCTAACATGAACTGGTTCGAGTGTTCGCTGGGATGGGAGCAGGAGCTGGAGAGGACGGGTACCAGCGGCTGGAGGGTCAGCTCTGTCAATGACCGCTTTGAGATGTCCACCAGGTAGAGCTCCTCTTTCAGACCTCCTGAGCTCAGTTTAGCACTGGCATTAGGAACACGTTTTTCCGCTTTTTAGACACGACTGATGTTCATTGTTCCATAACAGTTCATCCTAAATCCTTTTCCCACACATTAACACTAATGAATAATCATTTGTTCAAAACAACATACTACCATACTATTCATGCCATTTTGGCAGCATGCAAATAAACCAAAAAAAAAAATGAAGGTAATGCGAGCTGTGATTTGAGCTGTGAAGACATTTAAAAAATAAAAAAAGCTAAAATAACCATATTTTACTTATTGCATGCTTATCCAAACACTTTTAAATTGATTTTTTTTTAAAGAAATTAATACTTTCATTCAGCAGGAATGCATTGATCAAAAGTGACATCAAAGACATTTTATAATGTTACAAAAGGTTTCTATTTTATAATAAAAACCTGTTCTTTTGAACTTTCAATTCATCAAACAATCTTGAAAAAACAACGTATCACGGTTTCCACAAAAATATTAAGCAGCACAACACTGATAATGATAAGAAATGTTTCTTGAGCAACAAATCAGCATATCAGCATGATTTCTGAAGGAGCATGTGACACTGAAGACTGGAGTAATGATGCTGAGTAATGATATTTCACATAACGTATTCAAATAGAAAACACTTATTTTAAATTGCAATAATATTTCACAATATTACTGCTTTAAAGATATTTTTGATCAAATAAATTCAATACCTTGGTGAGCGACTTCTTTCAAAAACATAAAAAATCTAACCAAACCTGAACTTTTGAATGGTAGTGTTGAAATATAAGGCTATATCTATTTGTGCCTGTAAGTACAGTGAGCTCACCACATAATATCATGTATGCACAAGCGTGTCCAATCATAGGCACATCATGTTCCATGTGGAAACTGCTCACACGTTTTGTCCTCCTGTGTTCTTGTAGTCTGCCCAGATTCAGTGTGGTTCCTCAGAGGGTCCTGGACACAGAGCTCAAGAAAACATTTGCCCACTTTAACGAGGGTCGCATCCCAGTGAGTTCATTCTGACATCCCGCTACAAAACACCAAGCCTTTTAAACATGGCCTGAAAATAAAAGTGACATTATTTACTACTTCGATAAATGTTCCATAACGGAATGTTCCTAAGTTCTGTTTTCATAGTCTATTATATTGTTACCATAATCAAAATGTAAATACTTTCTAACCAAGGCTACTAACCAAAACCAAAGGCCATTCCTTGCAAATCAAATGATTAAGGATCAAACCAATTCCTACACAACGTTGTTTCCCACAGAATATTCTGGTTCATCAAGGGATGGTTCACCCAAAAATGAAAATTATCATAATTTTCTTGTGTCGATCCAAACCTGTAAGACTTCCTTTCTACTGTGGAACATTAAAGAAGATATTTTGAGAAATGTCTCTGTAGTTTGGTTCCCAGCATTCTTCAAATCTTCTTTTGTGTTTATGTTTAAGTCATACAGGTTAGGAATGACATGAAGTTGAGTAAAATGACAGAATTTTAATTTATAGTTAATTTCACTAAAAATACATCACCTTGTTAAAGTCAAGTGTTGGTGACTGTTGTTTATGGCCTTAAAGGAATAGTTAATCAAAAAATGAAAATTGTCATCGTGTACTCATCCTCAAGTTGTTTCCGAAGTCCATGCTGTTTTTTTTTCTTCTGTGCCACACGAAAGAAGAGTGTTTAAAGAATATTTATGGAGCTCTTTTCCATGCGACTAAACAAGTATGTTGAGCTCCAAAAAAGACATAAAATCACCATAAAAGAAGTTCATACACAGCACAGCTTGTTAGACTGTATGTCAAAAGCTTTTTTATACTGAGGCATATTTTATGATTCTAAGATATACTTGAACTCCCCTCAGCGCTGGTGCTGGCGACATCCACATGGCAGCGACTTACTACGAATGGCCAGCTTCCAAAATAACATCTACCATGAGAAGGACGACATCAGGTTTATATTTTCTTTAGATAACTTAGATGTTCATTAGCAGCAGTCGAGCATTCATTAGGAAACAGAGCTCTTGTCGTCTGTGATCTGCAGGAACCTGGAGTTGGTGCTCTTCGGCGGACAGCAGCTGTGTGTGATTGTGGATCTGGGAGAGGAAATGCCGTCACCTGCAGACATCCAGCTGGCTCACACCAGACTCCGGACTCTTTGTCTGGGCGGTGGGTAATATTAGTTGATTTTTGATGACCTGATGATACCCTGGTGCAAAAGCCAGTTTGAATTTCCAGACAGGTTGTTGCTGTTCCAACAAAGTCTAGTTGAAGATGCTGGCCAGGCGAGCATTGATGTGTGCAGCAGCACATAAGCATCCAAAAAAGCTCTTTTTTAGCAGGGTATATTAAATGAATAATTCACAGAATGTTCACACTTCTCTTTTCCATTCAGTGGGAACTTGTTGTGTCCACGTGCTGCCAAGCTCCACAAAAAACCCCAAAAAGCTTAAAATAATTCTACACACCAACCTGTTGTATGAAATGCATGGATGTTTTTCTTTTTGAGTGAAGTACTTTGAATTTGAATCATTTGGAATCGAACATTTGGAATGTTTGGAATCATAATGATGTCTTTTATCTTTTGTGGTTAAATGTTGTAACTTTTGCTGTTTTTGAGACTTGGGTGTGGATTTTAAAATGTTGTGTACATGGGTCAAGAGCTTCTATTGTTTGAAAAGATACATTTTAGTCTTATAGAGATACAGTCTTTTTGTTTTGTCTGGCTTCACATTCCTCCTGTGGTTGAAGCCACACTGACCCGAAACATTCCTCATAGCGGTGTGAGTTAAAAGAGCAGCTCGCCGAGTTCCACCACGGAGGGGCAGCCGGCTGACCAGTCTTTTGTTTCTCACATTTCTCTTGCATTTTTGTATTGTCTGTTGTGTGATGCCAACAAATGAGTATAAGGAAGAGACGGACTGAAATTTCAGCCATTGTGAGATTGGCCACAGCATGGGCTGTGCAGAGACATCTTATTATTATTATTATTATTATTCAAATATTATATTTTAAAAAATAATTTATGGTAATAATTTTTTTTTAATCCTTTAAAATAATTTTTGGCCAGTTTTTAATATGTAAAATTATTATATTAAAGTGTTTAATTTCAAGCAACAGTTTTATGCGCGTGTTGTTTGCTATAATTAAATGTTATGTAAATTGTGCATTATATATTAATATTTATTTATTAGCCACATATTTTTGTTTTCTTAGTGTTGTTTCATATAACTAAATTTTATTATGTGGAATGTGCATTTCTAACACATTTATATTTATTTATTAGCCACATTGGTAACACTTTACTTGAAGGGGTGTGCATAAGACTGACATGACACCTTCATAATCATGACATGACACATGTCATGAATATGAAGGTTTTTTATGCATGTTTATAACAACTGTCATTAAGTGTCATTCGCTCAGTTATGTCATTTTTAATGCAAATATGACATTATTTGACCTAACCTTACCCCTAACCATAGCCCATAACAAAGACATCTCAAACAATGTCATCTTTGCATTAAAAATTACATAACTGAGCGAATGACACTTAATGACAGTTGTTATAAACATGCATAAAAAACCTTCATATTCATGACATGTGTCATGTCATGATTATGAAGGTGTCATGTCAGTCTTATGCACACCCCTTCAAGTAAAGTGTAACCGCCACATTTGTTTAATTTTTGTTTTGTTGGAGTTTGATATATTTATGTTTATGTTTATATTTAGCCATTGACCACTATTGCTGTTAAGTTTTAAAATGTGTTGGTCAATAAAATGTATTTTTGTCTCTCCGCCCTACAGATATTTCATCATCTGTATCGGTACCTGATGACAAGTGGCTCTCCACTCTTGAAAGCACTCGCTGGCTCGACTATACCAGGTATATTTGTGCATGAATATAAATAGTGATCCTTTAAACTATATAACAATATTTGGATGCATCATATAGAAATGTTTTCTCTCTTTTGACTATGTTTGCTTTCTGGTCAATATATAGTATGTATACTGTGGAAAGCATGTGAATCTTACCTAGATGACCTACACTTCATTTGCTAAATGTGCAGTATATAAAAGAGCATACTGCATCCCACATTTCAATCTCTAATATTGAAGTTTTATTTTTAGCGTGGTGTATTTGATGTTGAATTTATCAGTGTATCCCGCTGTGTGTGTTTGTGTGTGCTTTACCCTGCTGTGTTTGATGTGGTTGTGTCTCCACAGGTGCTGTCTGAGAAAAGCCGCAGAGGTGGCTTGTTTGCTCAGGGGAGGTCACATGACTGTTGTTCTCCAAGGTTAGTCACACTGATCGTTAATGGCCATCTGACCCGACTCTGAACTTTGCACCCTGCTAGCATATGATGATTTATGTGTCTTTAATGTTTAAATGCATACAGCAAGATCCAATCTGTGCCGAATACAGTGAGAAAATCAGATATTAATATAATCTTTGCCCTCTGCATGTACAAAACTAGGTCAGTAAGATTTAAAAAAAAAACAAAAAAACATTAATACTTTTATTCAGCAATAAATTGATCAAAAGTGACAGTGAAGACATTTTAATGTTACAGAAGATTTCTACTTTATATTAATTTTGTTCTTTTAAACTTTATATTTAACAAAGAATGGTTTCCACAAAAATATTAAGCAACACAATTGTTTTCAACATTAATAATAATAAGAAATGTTTCTTGAGCAGCTAATCGGCATATTAGAATGATTTCTGAAGGATCACGTGACACTGAAGACTGGAGTAATGATACTGAAAATTCAGCTTTGCATCACAGGAACGAATGACATTTTTAAATATATTCAAAAAGAAAATAGTCATTTTAAAATTATAATAATATTTCACTCTATTACTGATTGTACTTGATTTACAGCCTTGGCAGCTTTCTTTTAAAAACATTAAATAATCTAATCAACCCCAAACTTTTGAACAATAGTGTAAATGTTTATTTTTTTTTAAGTCTTTGGCCTTGTTCATAATGCACCCAATTGCAGTTTATTTTTAAAAGCCGATCTTGATACTACTTGAAGTCTGATCTTACCCCTAAGTGCATTTCTAAAAATCTTTAGAAATAATATGTCAAACTACATAAGACTGTGGTTTGTAACAATAGGATTTCATCTCTTTTTTTAATGACACACTCTTAGCAGAAGTTTAAACATACCACACAGTTGTGATTTATTCTTTTTCCTAACCCATAAACCAACAAAGAGCGACATCTGGCAGCGCACTTCAATTCTTCAAATTCTCATTTCATTTTACAGTCCTCTAAAACGTTTGTTTTCCTCCACGTAACCCGCAGCTGCCCTGCCATAAACGTCAATATTCCTGTGTGTCTTGACAACCAGTGAATAACTTCAGGAATGAGTTTCTCAGATGAGGCTGACGCACCCATCTATCACTGTAAAACCTGTTTGCCACATGTGCTCTGAGCAGAGACGCTGAGAAAGCACCGCGAGAGGGCGATGAAATCCCCTGATCCACTGTTTACAGGCATTTTAAGTTTAAAGCTGGAATTGTAAATTGTCAGATGATGCATTGTGTTTTGCTCTGTGTGTCCTCAGAGCCAGAGGATCGAGACATGAACTGTGTGGTCTGCAGTCTGGTGCAGGTGATGTGTGACCCTCACTGCAGGACCGTGGCTGGATTTCAGGGCCTGATTCAGAAAGAGTGGCTCACGGCCGGACACAAATTCCTCAGCCGGATCAACTCCCACAGAGAAAGTGATAAAGAGGAGGTAAAAGAAAGAGAAGCAGAAAACGGTCCTATTCTGAAACCCACACACATATGACATGTTTGGGGTCAGTATTCTCTGATTCTCTTTTGCTCACCAAGGCTGCATTTATTTGAGTAAAAATACAGTCAATTGTAAATATTGTGAAATATTATTACAAATAAAAAGTTGTTTTGTATTTGAATATATTTTAAAAATGTAATTTATTCCTGTGATGCAAAGCTGAATTTTCAGCATCATTACTCCAGTCTTCAGTGTCACATGATCCTTCAGAAATTATCCTAATATGCTGATTTGCTTTTGTAACACTACAAATGTCTTTACTGTCAATTTTGATCAATTTAATGCATCCTTGCTGAATAAAAGTATTCATTTCATTAATAAAAATTCCATCTTACTGAGCCTAAGCTTTTGAATGATATTGTAGTGTGTTTCCAAATCAAAAATCACTTATGAGATTACATTTCAGTCCTATTTTTCCAAGATGCTGTCTTACAAGGCAGCTGCTTATGTAGGAGGAAGACAGCAAGGTTTTGGACACAGCCAGAAGATCTATTCTTTCAGCATACTGTCATACTGTACATTGTCATCTACCTACCCTTCAACATCCAAACCCTTATGAAATGTCATAACAATGAACGAATATCTACAGATAAAAAAAAAAAAAATGATGTAATGATAGTGTACTAAAAAACTAAAATACGCAGAACACCAATATGGGTGGAATTATATTATTAATTTTCTATTGATACTTTTACGCAATAACATTTTTTAAAATTGATTTCCCTCGACTTTATCTGCCTTCTCGAAATGAAGAAGCTTGTTGCAATGCATTCTGGTACTGCCTTATCCTCAAAGTACGCATGTGATTTTGCCCAAAGCGAGGTTGTGAGCACACATATGATGCCTAAAAATGTTGCCTAAATGGGCTGTTTTAGTCAATTTTAGCTGGACTTGTTCTCATTTCAGCTTAAATTTCAGTTTGAATTCACAGTAAGAGTCTTGTTCTATATGAGTTGTATGATGTACCTTGCTCTCCGGCAGGCCCCTGTGTTCCTGCTGTTTCTCGACTGTGTGTGGCAGCTGTGGGCGCAGTATCCCGCACGCTTCCAGCTTACTGAAGACTACCTGCTGGCTCTGCATGACAGCGTGCACCTTCCACTCTTCAGCAGCTTCCTGGCCAACAGTCAGAGGGAGAGATGTCGCCGTTCACAGGTACTCGCACAGAGTTTCACAAAATATGTCAAAGCACAAACAAAAAGTTGAAAACTACATGACAGCTATTTAATGCAGCAATATCTTTGCCTTGTTATTAGCCTTAAGAGGTTAATTTTACAATAAGGTATCATAAAATTGTACACTATCTTCCTTTTGTACAGCTACTTAAATACATAAACTACCAGTAAAAAAAAATTATTTTTCTTATATTCAGTAATGATGCATTATATTTACCAAAATTGACAGTTAAGGTTACCACAAAAAAAAATCCTTGTCAAATAAATGCTTTTCTTTCGAATTGTCTAGTCTTCAAAGAATCCTATAATGCAAAGATGACATTGTTTGATATGTCTTTGTTATGTGCTATGGTTAGGGGTAAGGGTAGGGGTAGGATTAGGTTAGGGTTAGGTCAAATAATGTCATATTTGCATTAAAAATTACATAACTGAGCGAATGACACTTAATGACAGTTGTTATAAACATGCATAAAAAACCTTCATATTCGTGACATGTGTCGTGTCATGATTATGAAGGTGTCACGTCATGATTATGTAGGTGTCATGTCATGATTATGAAGGTGTCATGTCAGTCTTATGCACACCCCTTCAAGTAAAGTGTAACCGAATGTTTTGTGAAGGATTATGTGACACTGAAGAATAAATGGGGATGCAATATTTATTTTCTTAGTTATCTTAAGAGTAATTGTCTATTTAATAGTTATAATTTGAGAAGAAAGAAAATGTTGTGTGATGCAAAAGATGTGAACCTAGCTATGAGAAACTGATTATAAACAGTTGCTACAGTAAAGCACAACTATTTTCTCTTTTTCTATTAGATGATAGATTCTCTTTTTTTATTATTAAAGGGATAATTCACCCAAAAATGAGATTTTTGCCATTATTTACTTGTCTTTGTCATTTTGGTTATTGTTTGAAAACAAAAAATAAAATATTTGTAATGAAACCTGAAAGGTTTCTGTCCCTCCATTGAAAGTCCCGATAACCAACACTTAGAAGATCCAATCCATAAAGGCTTATTAAAACAAATCCATATGAATCAAGTGGTTTAAATCAAGTCTTTTGAAGAGAAACCTTTCATTTTTGAGTGAACTATCCATTTGAGCATTGCATGTGTGTGTGTGTGTGTGTGTGTGTGTGTGTGTGTGTGTGTGTGTGTGTGTGTGTGTGTGTGTGTGTTTGTGTGTGTGTCTGGAAGTTTTGCTGATTCATGTATTCCTTTACATGCCAAAACAACAGATCTGATGTCTGTGCTGTATTGTTTCCCTGCAGCACCTTCCCCAGAGCTACACCCCAGTGAACGGTCTGAGGGAATTGCCCTTGGGCACCCCAGAGGAGTCGGTAGACCCACCTTTCCCTCCGGTGTGGGACTGGGCCCTGCAGTACAGCAGTCTGAGACGTGCCCGCTTCACCCAACCCGTGTCACAGCCCGCCTGTCCTCCACCTGTCCTCAACGGAAACCTCAACACCAACCTGGACCGCAGCTGGGTAAGATTTACCTGCTGTGATTACGCTAACAGTTACATTTCAGCAAGGATACATTCATCCCGTATAGGAATAGGGGTGTTGCACGGTGGTTAAAATTCTGGGCTCTTTACCAAACGTTTGTAGGTTTGAATCCTGCTAGAGGCAATCTAAGAACTATCATCAGTGTGCCCTTGATTGAGGCAGTTAAAGAGATAGTTCACACAAAAATATATATTTTTTTTTTATTTATTCACCCTCATGCCTTTCTGATCCTGTTTTATTTTCTGCAAAACACAGAAACAAAAATTGTATGTTTATGTCGCCAAGCTTCAAAATGCACCAAACATTTTGTCAATATTACTATGAATGATATTCCTTTGAACTTTCTATTCATTAAAGAATCCTGAAAACAATGCATCTCTGTCTCCACAAAAATATTAAGCAGCACAACTTTTTTTTTTCAACACTGATAATAATAAATGTTTCTTGAGCAGCAAATCAGCATGATTTCTGAAAGATCATGTGACTGGAGTAATGATGCTGAACATTCAGCTTTCATAATAATATATAAATATTAAATATATTTAAATAAAAAAGCTATTTTTAAATGAAATAATATCATGCAATATTAATGTTTTTACTGTATTTTTATCAAATAAATGCAGCCTTGGTGAGCATAAAAGACTTCTTTCAAAAACATTAATACATCTTACTGACCCCAAACTTTTGAATGGTAGTGTATGTCACCATTCAGGACAATAATAGATAATAAAACAGGGTCAGAGTGACATGAAGGTAAGAAAACAATGACAGACTTTTCATATTTAGTTCTCGGGTTTCTCCAGAGGGATCGTCCCTGTAATAACTGCACTGTAAGAGCAGCAGATATGACTATTCATTTCCTCCTTCCCTTATAGAGAGGAACATTATTGAGTAGGGAATTGATAGTACAGGACAGAGAAATTAATTTTCAGCTTACAGGCATTGCTTGTGTCAAGTTAATGATCATTGATTCATGTTTTCTGGGCTGCCCTAGATGGCTGGAAATCAAAAGGGAGGTTCTTTAAAAACGAGGCCAACTAATAAACCTGTGCCAAAATTAGATCATTTTTCTAATTGGGCTGTCAACTGACTGTACCGCTTCATTAGCCTGATAAAGAGTGTGTTAATGCTGTTTATTCTCTCTCTCAGCATAATGACGGACTGCCAGGCTCTGTGTTCCTGTTGTCCCGGAGCACATTCTCCCATCCCTCCAACCTGCTCCCCTGGAGGAGCGGAAACTCTGGCTCTTACTGGAAGAGCCACCGCAGGGCTCCTTCCTCTGAGAGTCTGTCTGGACTCGAACGTCTCATCAGAGCCTGTTTGCTCTCTGAACCCTCAGAGAACCCCTCAACCCCCCACGACCCATACGAGCCCCTGCTGCCCCTGCTCTTGGGACCCTGTGTCAGAGTATGGAGGGGCTGCTATTTACGGGGCGCACTACACGCTCAGGTACACTGTGATAGTGTTTGGTTTTTGGATGTGGCCAAATATGTTTTTTTCCACTGGGTTTTGGATTAGCATTAGCAAATTTAATGTATGCGAATAATCAAAATACAGTGAAAACTATTTGCAAAGCCGTTTTCAAAAAAAGAAAACCATCACTTTCCAGGGAAATTAATGCCAAGTATTTAAGTTGTATGTACTGTACTGTGAAATCCACTGTGGCTCTAGATAAGATAGATAAATAGATGGATGGATGGATGGATGGCTGAACAGAGAGATGGATATATGTATGAATGGATAGATGAATAAATGGATGGATAGATGGACAGACGGATGGATGGATGAATGGATAAACAGATAGATGGATACATGGATGGATGGATGGATAAATAGATAGATGGTTAAACAAATAGACAGACGGATGGATGGACGGAAGGATAGATAGACTGATAAAAAGATACACGGATGATGGATGGATGGCTAAACAGCTGGATGGATGAATTGACAGCTAAAAAGGAAGATAAATGGATGGATGGATGGATGGATGGATGGACAAATGGCTAAATGGATGGATGGATGGATGGTTGGATGGACAGATGGATGGCTAAACAGCTAGATGGATGGATAGACGGCTAAAAAGATGGAAGCTAGATGTAGCATGGATGGATGGATGGATGGATGGATGGCTAAAAAGGAAGATAAATGGATGGATGGATGGATGGATGGATGGATGGACAAATGGCTAAATGGATGGATGGATGGATGGTTGGATGGACAGATGGATGGCTAAACAGCTAGATGGATGGATAGACGGCTAAAAAGATGGAAGCTAGATGTAGACGGCTAAAAAGGAAGATAAACAGATGGATGGATGGATAGATAGACAGATGGATGGATGGCTTAACAGCTGGATGTATGGATTGACGGCTAAAAAGGAAGATAAACGGATGGATGGATGGACAAATGGCTAAATGGATGGTTGGATGGACAGACAGATGGATGGATAGACGGCTAAAAAGATGGAAGGATAGATGGATAGATGGATGGCTGAACAGATAAATAGATGGCTAAACATAAATGGGTAAACTGATAAAAGTATGAATGGATGGATGAATATTTGATTATTGAAAACAATGATATTTATCATCCTAATAACATACGTCTCTCTCTCTCTCTCTCTCTCTCCACTTCCTGTAGGCTTTCTCACACCCCATGTCTTCCTGCAGTCAGCATCCATTAGATCAGCTGGCCTGGGAAGTGCAGCAGCTCCGAGAGAAAGTGGCTCATGCTTCTCACAGACGCCCCGAAAACCAGACTAAACGACAGGAGCCACGCCGACTGGAGTCCAACCTCAACCAGAACGCCAACAATGGGACCTTCCTCTTTTCCTCTTCCTCTAGAACATCTCAACAACAGCCGTCCAGCCGAGGTGCGGCCCACTCCTCCGTCATTCCCAGAGCCCAGCGGACGGCATCCGATCCACCCAGGCCTGTGCAGAGGAATAACGGCAAGCACACGTTTCTGTTCGGCCACCAAGAGCCTCCACAATCAGGGCAGTGCTACATTCCCTCGCCTAGTGCCAAACTTCCTAAACGCCCCGGAAACTCACACTGATCTGTAGGAAGGAAAGAAACGGCCCCCTCTGGTGTTTGTGTTACTGAAACAATACAATACGGTACAAAGCAGAAACTCCACTAGAAACTTGAAATCTATGTGCTTTTGAAAAAGCAGAGATTGACCTGGCCTTTTTTGTATAAGCAGCTATGTAAAGAGTAGCAAAAACAACAGGCTAGCAAAAAAGCATCAACAATTTACGATGTAAAATTCTTCCTCTGTTGTGTTTTTATAAGATAATTTAACTACAATGGTCTAGTTCACTAAAAATAAAGAATCTTGTGTTATTTATTCATCCTCATGTTGTTCCAAATGTATAATACTTCTTCTGAAGTCATGATTTTGTGTGAAATTAGAAGATTTTAATCTGAAAATCTAGACATCTGTCCTAGATCTTCTTTTAAAAGTAGAATTAATCAATCTTTTAAGATGAATCTTTTCAATGAATCAGTTGATTTGGTTCACAGAATCAATCTAAATGATTCATTTTGAAACTTCACAACTATAATTTGCACTGTAGCCTATTTGTTTGAGAAAAAAAAGTGATCTATTTTCTCACCTTGTCTTCCATTGAAGAAAGAAAATGACTTTGGCATGACATGAGGGGGACTAAATGACAACAGAAATTATTTTTCCTTTAAATAAAAATGAAAAACTGTAGTGAAGCAGAGTGCTAGTAAACGTCTGCATAGGAAATGTTATGTGTCTTGAGGTTCATGCCAAAACTGATAACTTCTGTGTTGGTCAAGAAACAGTTTTAGCTTTAAGTAGTTTGTGCATGTAACAGTAGTTCATGATAATGTAGGCTAGTAAAATAGCGATTTGTGTTTCCTCAACCAAAAAGGCGGGAAAATGGCTGCTATCAGCTAATAATATAACTAAGAAGGTTTTGCAGTTCCCTGAAAGGCCACAGGATGGACACAAAATAATCTTCTGCCTCCATGTTGAATGCCCTGTTGAAAAAAACAGCATATGCTGGTTAGGTATGTTTTGACGCTGGGATGCTGGTTTAAGTTGGTCCTTTGCTGGTTTAAGTTGGTCCTTTGCTGGTTTAAGCTGGTCCTTTGCTGGTTTAAGCTGGTCCTTTGCTGGTTTAAGCTGGTCCTTTGCTGGTTTATGCTGGCCCTTTGCCAGCACATGACCAGCATAAACCAGCAAAAGGACCAGCATCAAAACATACTTAACCAGCATATGCTGGTTTTTTCAACAGGGTGCAAATAGCCTGATACAAAATGCTGGCTTGCCTCTCAATATTTACAAGCAACGACACAATACTGTCACGTGTATTATGCATTTTTGTATTTTATTAAGTATTAATACAAAAATAGAAGAGACATAGAGACTAGAAATAACATAAGTGATACTACAATTATTTAAGTATCAGTGGATACTTCAGTGTTACTTCATCATGAATGTACAGGGATGTGTTTTTAAAATCATTTTGCGATTAGAGTGAACTCTAATTTGTGTATAAGGATAAAAAAGTAGCACTCATGCTGAAGGACATTTTATATTCTCATTTTGATATTACCGATTATCTTCTGCACATTACTCTCTCCGAGTTCCAGGACTTCCTTCGACATGTTTTTTCATTTCCTGTGGATTATTTGCATGATTTCTTTTGTAAGATTGTTACAACTGTTCAGAACTGCTCGTTCTGTTAATAGTTGACCCAAAAATGAAAACTGTCATTTACTCATCCCAATGTTGTTGTTTTTTTTTTCTCTCAAAAAAATTTGTTTTAATGTTCTAAGGAAAAAATGTTCTAAGTAATGTGACTGTTCTCATTTTTTAGGTGAACTATATTCCTTTTAGGTTTGATGGAAAGCTTTTATGCTCCTCAGTGATGTGGGTTACAAGACAGACAGCTTCAGATCTGTCCTTGTGAGACGTTTTTCCTCAAAAAGCATTATGCCACAAATGTCTGACAACAGTGACGTTCCAAAATTGAGAGAGCAGCTCCAGAGGTTTGTGTCCTACTTTTATCTCCCCTAAGGGGAAAAAAAAGTTGCTGGAAACATTAACATACGGTACCGTGTTGAGTTTTTATTCTGTTGTCTCGCTGGCATATCAGTGTATAGTTTCAGGAAGACAAATGGACTTGAAATATCTTGCATCAACATATTTCACAAGACTGAATTTGAGCAAACGTTTATTTGATGGCACAAGAATTGCTTGCATTTCATGAAATGACCCAATGCTTGTGCCTTAAAACTGATTTCAGTGGTTTTGTGCTTTTTATCCTTGCATCACAGGGACAAATGATTACCCGTTCTCATGTTTTTCATTCCTTATTCTTTTATAACAACCTTTATTGGCACATTTTAAATAAATAAATACATCTTATAGTTCCTAAATACAATTGTATGATGGTTTTCTTAACATTGGTTATTCTGGCTTATTAAAAATATATGACAAATGAGCCCAATAGTTCTGACTCTATACTCGAGTCTTATCAAAATAGATATTTACAACATTAGCGCATTAGTACAAAGAAGCATTACAACATTTAAAGTTCATGAACTGTAAATTACACAAATGTTTACATTAACAGCACTCGTTACAAAAATAAATACACACTCAGGAAAGCTTTACTACTGTATATCATCTGGCATTAAAAACTAAATACAAACTGAATCTACAATCTATGAAAGCCAGTAGTTCGTTTAAATCACTTCCACCAGGCAGTAACAGAGTTAAAACGCTCTTAGCATCAATTTACTTTTGCTCAATTATGGCACTGGAGAGCATACGAAACATATTAAATGATTCACTTACGATGCAAGTCTCACTTAACATTGTATGAATATCGCTGAATATTGAACCATGATATGAAGCCCAGTCACACTATCACAGTGGATCTCAACTGGCGGATCACAACCTGAAAAAGAGGGACAGATCTATTCTGGTAAATCTGTAGTTAAGAGTAGTAAGCTTTTAAACTTTATAAGGAAAGATGTCAAATCTGTGTCCTGAAACAAATCCACATCAGTAAAAGAGTAGTTCAGCCAAAACTGAGAATCTCACCCTCAGGCCATTGAAGACGTAGATGAGTTTTTCTTCATCACACCAAATTTAGAGAAATTCAGCAGTGAATGGGTGCCGTCAGAATGAGAGTCCAATTCCAAACGGGTAATAAAAACAAGTAATCCACACGACTCCAGTCCATCAATTAACATCTTGTTAAGTAAAAAGCTGCATGTTTGTAATAAACAAATCCATCATTGAGACATTTTAACTTCAAGTTGCTTCTGGCTTAAAGTCATGGATTATGTTAAAACATCTTAATAATGAATTTGTTTCCTACAAACGTGCACCTTTACACTTCCCAAGATTTTTTATGGATGGACTGGAGTCGTGTGGATTATTGTGACACTTTTATCAGCTGTTTGAACTCTCATTCTGACGGCACCCATTCACTGCAGAGGATCCATTGGCGAGCAAGTGATGCAATGCTAATTTTCTCTAAATTTGTTGTCATGAAGAAACACTCATCTACATCTTGGATGGCCTGAAATTTTCAGCATATTTATTTCTTTAAATGGCACAGTCATTCCCACAGGCCTCCTTTCTCTTCAACTAGCTGCTGCTTCTGACTTCCGAAAGGCGAACAGTGGGTCATGCTCTGGCAGCTGTGGGCTGGAGCGAAGCCTCCCAGGTGACGGAGAGTTTTGCACATTGGGCAGGGATACTCAGCCAGACCTTCTATGTCCTCAAAAGCCAGGTTGACGATCTGATCGGAGCAGGGGTCGCAGTAGAGGTGGCCGCAGGAGAGACGCTTCAGCCGGGCCTCGTAGGAGATGCAGCACTGGCAGTGAGGAACATCAGAGTTCAGAGACAGACTACCGGTCAGAGAACTGCTCTCCATGCTAGCAGCCTGACTCGAGCCCAGCTTTGTGGATGACCTGCAGGACCATAGGACAGAAAAATCACAGATGAGATCGCTTTAGTATTTGAATTGTTTCTATGTATTGCTGGGAAACTGGTAAATGCCAGGAAAATGCACATAATGTATAGCTTCGGGACAGAGGGTTTCGATATAAAATCAAAACAGGCCACGCTGAAAATATGGCATTCAATTTCTAATTTTAAAATTAATTTCAATACATTTATATTTAAAAATCGAAATAAACATTCTATATTCTTTCATTTTAATTTTTAAGTTTTCAATTAAATTCTTTTTTTATTGAATTTTTTTTATTGAAAGTGTGATTTAAATCAGGAATAAATATGTATTTGAAATTGTAAATTAAGGAACGTTCTTTAATCTTTAATTTTTAAATGTTCAAGTTAAATCGAATGATGATGGATTGGATTTTTTCCTTTTTATTAAGTCTGTTTTCAATATATAAATCACAGACCACAATGAGAAAATGGCAATCAAATTCCAATTTAAATCTGAAATAAATTAATTCATTTCAAATTTTAAATCAAGAAACATTCCTAAATCTTTAGATTTAAAATCACAAGAACTCCAATATACTTTCAAGACCAAATTTTTGTTATCTGAACTATAATATTCACATAAAACACTATACTCATACTGTGTGTATGTCTCAGTCAAATCTATGCTATTTTCTTTCAGGAGACACATCTGAGACCAAGTAGAATCTGAGAACCCTCCATTTAGAAGAATAACATACTCACAAAGGAAGGTAGTGTTGCATAATCTAGTGTTGTGACCCTGAGATGAATCTTACCTTTACCAAATACTACATCATTTCATTGTTAAAGTCACCTTACAATAACAGCTACTGTGGTTTAATCTAGTTTTACAGCCTGATCAAGCAATAAATAAAGTGCCCTAAAACAGCCAGACTAGACTAGATCAGCAATCCATCTAGTCTGATTAAAGTATATCTCTGTCTTGTGCTGTATATCAGATTATGTGCATGCATTAGGTTTGTATGCATCATGCAATGCACATGCATCCTACAGTGGCATCGCACAACCTCTGTAAAGATGATGTTCGGAGCAGGTATTGCCATAGCAACCCATTTATAGTCTGCCATTGTTCCGTTTGCATATGCATGCAAACATCTTCAATGCGCAACACTGACACAGTTATTGAAACATGACATACCTGTGCGAAGAGGACGGAGAGCCTTTAAAACAGTCCAAGCTCAATGTCGCAATAATCTTCCAACACATGTTCAGTTCTCTCATGATCGACGACCGGAGTGATGTGACATCTGTGCAACCGATGCATGGTTTTTAAACATATTCACGCACGCGACCAGACACCCAGAGCGCCGCTCGAGCGCCACGCGCGGCCAGTAAGTAGGTCATTAAAACGCAGTTCACGACGCGATCGGCGGTTTATCGTTCTCGAGGTGGGAAGCAGGTCGATAAATCGATAAGAGGCGATTGCTCTCGATGGTCAGCGCCAGTGAGCTGCAGATAGAAACTGAGCGGTGCGCGAGAGTCTCTACAGGATCCTTTCTTCAGAAAGTTTCAGTCAAAACACAAAGATTAAAGCATAACTCGACCTGTGTGTACTTATGGCAAGCGTTTAACAACGGTTACTGAAAACTAAAAACGTCTTTTTTTATATTACTACTACTAGGCTGTTTATTGACTGCTAGTAAGTAATCGAGTAGTTGCTGGTACCTTTTCCAGTTTTACGCCAATTCCAGTAAGCTAGCTACTTTTTTCTAGTTACTATTCCAATACTTAATAGTATAAATTCCAGCATCCCTAGTATTATTAAATGAAACGGTATTTGATATTTATGAGATCAGAGTGTCCATTCGTATTATAATATCATGTTAAATTATTTAATATGATCATGAACTGCATAACAATAGCCATGCAAATATGCAACATTATTAACTCGCCTTGTTGATATAAGTGTACATATACAGTGGGTACGGAAAGTATTCAGACCCCCTTAA